GAGAGTTGTGTGCCAGTACTCTTGGAGAACATCAATGATGTCTTTGAGGTATACTCGGATATGCTGGCGTACGATGCTGACCAGTCTGCTCAAGTGGTTGAAGTAGAACTCGAGGCGGGAATTGCTCGAGGCACGGATGACTGATATGAAGGCGGGAACCACACGATCAAGAAATTGTACACACTTCAGCCCCAGAGTGATGAAGATGCTCATGATGGCATCGACGACGTTTCCGTGCCACTGGACTAAAGACTGATCCTTTAGTATCTGAAGTAGTGCATTGATCACCACTGTTGGATAGTAGTCTTCATTAGATGGTGTTAGGCCACTCATCATCAAAGAGACATCGGTCAGTTGGGCCGCTTCGTTCTTGTTGTCATCCGTCCTTTCCTCGACCTGCATTAAGTTAGCCAACGCGTTTTTGAGGGGATTATGTGTTTTGTCTGAGGGGTTTCTGCTCCTCGCACTCGCGAATTTGCCCATTAGGCTGGCCATACTGTCCTTCATAGGACTGGCTCGGAGCATTTCAAAGAGATGGTCTGTCAAGTGCCGCAGGTGTTTGTAGTCGTCTGGGATGCTTCTCAGGGTATCCTATACCTGATGTTTATACGGGTCCAGAGCGCCTAAAATGCCCATAAGCTTGATCGTTTCCTGTCGTAATGTGCCGTGTTGGGGCTCGCCGCGGATGATCGTCTGAAGGATCTCGAGAAGTTGAGGGTATTCGAGATAAGGTTGAATGACATAGCCAGCGTTGCTAGCAAGTTGGCCAAGGGTGTGGAGGGCAGCCTCCCGCTTGATAGGAGCACTTTGATCCTGCAGGGCGTCAATGATGATGGGCATCAATGTGTCCTTGTAAGCAAGCATGGATTCTCCACCGACTGTGCACAACTCTCCGATCGCTTGAAGGACCGTTGCGGCCACAGAAGGGGTGGGATCACGCGCTTTTGGTAGAAGGACTTCAGTGATGGAGTTCACGTAGGGCTTGACCAGGTCCTGGGCGTGCTGCGTAAGCAGACTCAGCAACTTGGAGCTCTCCTCTTTGCTCCTGGCCACGTCCGTGTATTCCAGTTCAGTTAGCATCTGAATAATTGTCTTTCGCAACTGAGGAATGACATAGGCCGGGTTGTACCGAGCCAGACGCCCGATGATCGAGACGGCGACTTCTCTGATAGCGAATACTTCGTCGTGGAGGGCGAAAAACAAGGTACGGATATTTTCAGCCTTGGCTAGGTGCTGATCGAAGCGCTCGTCGAGGGCTGCCAGGACCGTACGTCTGATAGCGGCATCAGGATCCGACACGCCGACTGTCAAAAGCTTCTCGATAACATCTGCGACCACCTGGAGCGCATGGTAACTAGTCTGGTTGACAATGGGGTCGCGCACGTAAAGTTGACAGCACGTTAGAGCAGCTGCCTCACGGATCTCTGGATCGTCGTCTTCAACGTATTTTATAGCAACGTCGCGGACGAACTCATTCAAGACATGTCCTGCAACTTTAGTCAGTTTTCGATCCAACGGGTATGAGCGTCGGCCGGCTGGGCCTTTCATCGTGACTGGCAGCGTCAAGGTCCCATTTCGAATTCCCTCAGCCGGTTCAATTTCTCCAAGGGGGAAACGGGAAAGCAACGTACCTGAAAAGTCAAAACTACCAAGGGTGTTCAAAGCCAGTTTGACTTCGGCCTTTCCACGTTCCTGTACTGATGGGTCCTTGGGGTCTTTGGGGATGGCCGGAATCGAGGTCAATGTGTTGGGGTGAGGTGCTCCCAGCGGTCGGAAGGGTTCTCCGCACAATACCTTGCTAAGCATATCGAGCAACCGTTCCTGGATAGTAGCCTTGACGGGGGGGATGTAGAAGGCCATGTCAACCAAGGCCTGTGTTAGTTTAGGCGTAAGCTCGCAGGCAAAGATGGGATCCAGGAGCGCTTCCATATATTTGCTCAAGGTCTGACCCACGGCCACGGCCAAACGGCTAATGCAATCAAAGACGGGGTCGACCGAGCCACGCTTTCTAGACTGTATACTTAGGCCGTCCCGGACATATATGAGGACGTCATCAAGATAGGGGGCGATGGCGCTCTTGACTGAGTTGGCAACGTTGCCGATGGCGAGAAACGCATCGTTTCTTTCCTTTTCCTTCTTAAGCATGTGAGAAAGATGTATCATAAATTTGTGGAGATATGTTGATGCGAAGTCGTTTGGTGCGTAGTTGGCCAAGTCGGGGATGAGGAGGACCACGGTCTTACGAATAGCCGGATCCTTGGCGTCCTTGTGACGGAAGACGATATCGCATGCCTCGCCGTAATGGGTTTGCATGTACATGCCGCCCTGCTCTAGCAGCTCTTTGAGAACCAAAAGAGAAGCATGAACTGACTCGACGGTGTTGGTCTTGAGTCCCCTGTTTGCTTCATGGAACATCTTGTCCATCCACTCCTGCTTCATGGCCTGATCACGCTCCCTTATAATCTTGAAGCAGGCACTGACGGTCTCGGCAGAAGTAGCTCGGATCAAGAGTCGCTGATCTCGAAGGCCGATCCAGGACTGCTCGAATACGAAGTTGACGTACGGGTACATCAGGGTTGGTGCATTCCGTGCCAGCTCGCGTAGAATGAGGACGGCGGCATATCGCCTTTCCTCAACTCGCTCTGACTGAAGCCACTCCAAAGCGAGCTTGACCTCAGCATCAACAAGCTCTGAGATGAGAGAGCCACCAGGCTTGCAAAGCTTTCCCAAGACAACCGCGGCAGGCTGCATTGGCGTTACATCTTTGCTGCGGAGGATGTAGCCAATATGCTGCTCGAAGCGACTGTACTTGAGGGCTAGGTCTATACCATCGAAGTCAACCAAGGCATCGAGGATGTAGACACCGCCCATTCGATCGCAGGTGTCGGTCCCTTGTATAAGCGCCATGGTCCTCTGGTTGACTGTGTTGAAGAATGCCGTAAACTGCTCGGCGCCCATTTCTGTATAGCATTGTGAGGTTAGCACGAGTTCCCGCACCAGATGGAAATCTGAGGAGAATCTGAAAACATGATGACTTGCCTTGCTTTGCAACATTGACGAGATCTCTGATCTGCCGAGCAGCGCGCTTCCGGGCGTCGTCGGTAGAGGTGCGATTCCTCACATCGCGAATGTGTGTTTCCAGCGTTGCCGCTGCTTGCTCCTTGGTTAAAGACATCTTGTTGTTATTGTCCGACTATGATGTCTTCTTGCTCTCTTTTGGATGTCGGATAGCCTCGTCTGCAACTAGGCTTATTGTCGCTGGCCCATAGTCGACAGGGACAGTAGGCTTCAAGAGCCGGTTGACCGGCCGGGACGAAGGGCGCGTGTGTAACAGCTACGAGCCTACGCCTTCTTGTCGCAGTGATCAGGAGGGTCGCGGGGTAAGTGAGCTGAGCCTCAGCAGTCGAACAGTCGGCTGGTTGGTTTCGAAGTTGGTCGAGGTGGGGGACACAGGTGATGCTCGGATGAAGTGCGACTGAAGTATTTCGGGATGGAAGGGGCAAAGTAGGCGTGCGGTAGTGTCCAGCAACGTAACACGCTCGCGAGTCGCAAAGTGAATAGGCCGAAGATAGAATACAGTTGTAACTTTTGGTACCACGCGCGCCGGAATGAAAAGTAGGGCGGGTGGCTCTGGGTATCGTAGAAGCTTGGGGAGCTATCGAGACTTCAAGCTGAAGCGGAAAGTGGTTGTTGAGAGAAGGTCGGGAATGGACCGAACGATAGACCGCTGGCAGTCTAGGTAAGGGTAGAACTTGGGGGACCCTGGTTCTAGCCCGACTCTGGCCGCCGTTGTAAAGTTGTTGGGATGGGGGAAACGAACGGTCGGGTTGAAGTTCGAGAGAGAGAGTGGACGACAGTTGGAGAGAGGAGGGGTTCCACGCTGCGTCACTGGATGAAACGGACCACGATGGATATTGCTTGGGAGGGAGAGGAGGGGAGGGTCCGTGTGGGTGGATGGATAGTGGCCGGGGCCGGGGACGGGAAGGTCTCAAGCCTGCCGTTGTTTGCTTGCGCGGTGGGTGGGTGGTCGGTCCAGGTCCAGGTCCAGCGTGCTGGTTGGTGTCCGAGTCTAGCCGTTAATCGTAGTCTTCTCAAATGATGAATAACACAATTTCAAAAGTCTTCCAAATCAACAACAACAACAACAACAACGGAGGATGGAATACGGCGGGCCGTGAATGTGCCAAGCAGCCGATATCCTCGTTGGTTGATTTGTTCGACGACGATTGTTGCTCTTCGCCGAGCGCAGCAAGTGGAATTGGAAATGCGGTGGAGCTGTCTTGGCTGTCTTACCCCTGCAGCCTCGTCCCATGAGGCTTCAAAGTCACCTGGAAGGTACGAATCTGCAGGCTTATTACGGGTTTGCGTAAAGCGTCGACACTTCGGTACGTACCACCCCTGCCACCCGCAATTGTCACCACTTTCCAAGTAACGAAAGCCCAAAATCGATTATGAAACTTGTAACCCTCGCATTCCACCCTCCGCAACCTGATATAAAGCAAAATATAGCAAAAAGCCCCCTTTTGGGCCAGCTGAACTGCATAGATGCATTATCTTTTTTTATAGCGTAGATATTGCTCAAGATAGACTTAAACTATCAAAAAAGTGGTACTTGAGAGATAGGATTAGATAGGGTTAATTGAGGAGGGCGGTGGGCCTCGGTACGTACCAATGTATCGACGCTTTACGCACCACCCTTATTACAGACTGTACTGTAGAGACCTGCTATTGGCACACGGGAGCCGGACGCTTTGACGCGCTTGATCCCGCTGCGGATGGAAGGTGCCCCTGCCGCTCGTGAACTTTAAATTTACTTGTACAGCGACGGGACCTCTTCATTGCTTATCTTATCTCCGCCGCACCTTGCTCCCTCCCGTCTCCTCAACACCACACGCCACTCACTCCATCTCCAACATCAAGCCTCTTCATTGCGTCTAAACTACAATACTGTGACGAACCATCTACCTGTTATCAACTCCAAAACCTCAACCATCACCACCATGGGTAACGACGGCGGCTCCATCCCCAAGCGCCGCGAGCTCGTCAAAGAAGCCGCGCGCAACCCGACAGTAAGCGAGCTGAAAGCGACCATCTTCGAATCGCTCAACCACGCCTGGACGCACGACCCCATCTCCTCGGAGCCCATCGATCTCGAGACCGTCGTGTCTGACTGGCGGGGGCGTCTCTACAACTACGAATCCATCCTCAAGGGACTTACCACTACTACTACACCCGACGATGTCGAAACCACATATGATAACAACAGCGGCAACGGCAACGGTGAGTCGGCAACAACAGGGCCAACCATCTTCGCAACCGAGCTAAGCTTCGCCTCCACGGGCATCAAATCCCTTCGCGACGTGGTCAAGCTCAAGTTCAAGCGCTATACGCCACCTGGCAACACAAAAGAGAAGAAAAAGGAGATATTTGCCTGTCCCGTCACGCTGAAAGAGCTAGGTAGCGCGTCGACGAAATCCGTCTATCTGGTCCCCTGCGGCCACGTGTTTGCGGAGATGGCGATACAGATGATTACAGAGCCCCAGAGTACAGATGGTGCAACAACAGAGGAAAAGGAGGCATGCCCGGAGTGCAGCGAGCCGTTCAACAAGTCGCAAGACGTTATCCCGATCTTGCCGACCGACAAGGCGGAGATCAACCGGTTAGCGAAGCGGATGGAAGATCTGAGGGCGAAAGGGTTGACGCATAGCTTGAAAAAGGACAAGAGCGCGAGCAAGGAGAAGAAGAACCAGGACAAGAACAAGAGCAAGAATAACAAGAAGCGCACGGCTGATGAGGCTAATGGTGCCAACGGCGGTGACGCGGAAAAGGAGAAGGAGACCAAGAAGGCAAAGAAGAGTGCTGGTGATAGTATCTCTAGCCGGGTGAGTGGCATCAACAATCCCGCAACGGCGGCGCTCACTGCTAGGGTATTAGCGGATCAGGATGAAGCCATGAAGCGACGGAAACTAGCTGCTGCTGGACTTCGATGACGGAGGGAGTGCAGCAAGATTTCACATCAGCCATGCTTCTTTTCTTGTTTCTCGTCGTAGTTAAAAGATACCAATTCACTATGTATGATTCTCTCTTAAAGTGACTAGCAGGCTTGCTTGACATGACTCAAAACGACATACATACAGACCAACAGACACATATAAACAACAACCAAAAGATCCAATTTCCACCAACTCTACATCACCAACAGCCAGTCCTGTTACCCTACTCCCCCCCCTTTTTCGCCTCCTCAAGGAAGCTCCTCAAAGCTCATCATGACCCTTAGCCCCGGCCCCCACCTCGGCCGCCACAGCCTCACAAGCCGCCGGGGTACCAACCTCCATCTTATACACACACTTCTCACTCTCGCTCACCCTCCAGAGCTCATCCTTCTCCGCACACGCCAACCACACAGCCGTCGATCTCTGCGGTCCATTCCAGCATCCCTGGCCATTTTCATACCTGAGCACCATCCTCGGGCCCTTGCCAAGTCCCTTTCCATCCACGCGATCCTCCTCATCGGCAATCTCGGTCGTGATCCGCTCAAAGTTACCCATGTTGGTGTTTCCGTGGCCCTTCTTAGATTTCTGCGTGGTGCGGTCGAACCAGCACAGCTCGTACTCGTACTCGCCCACGTCGGAGCTCACGCACTGGCCCTTGAGCGCGCGGAAGATGTCGTCCGGGCCGTAGTCCTTGGCCAGGTCGCGCTCCTCGTCGGAGAGTTGAGTGGTCTTGGTGGTGTGCTCGGCGCGCGCGGCCTCGAGGGCTTCGCGCGCGGCGATGACCAGCTTGGATTCCACGGGTCCGCCCGTGGTCGGGTTGTCGGCGAGGATGCCGTTCTCGATCAACCAGACCTTGAGGGAGGAGATCTTGGAGTGGATGAAGGAGCGGACGGAAGGGGGGAGGTAGGCTTCTAGATTGTAGACTGGTGTCTTGGTTAGTAAACTGTAAAAGTAATGGTGGGAGACATGAGGGAGATACATACCAATATCGGCATCGCTCGTCTCCTCCTCTTGGAACTCAGCCCAGTTAATACCCGAATCGGGTCCATCCTCCTTGAGCACCTCCAAAACATCGGCATCAACCACCTCCGACTTCTTGTCGGTAGAGGTAGACTTGCCAGCAGCATAGTTCTCGTACCCCTGAACAGCCGCCTTGACGCCCTCGTCGTTGAAGTTGGGGTTATACTCCTCTTTGAGCTTGCTCAGAATATCCTCCAGCTGCTCGACCCGGTCCTGCAAGTCATCGCGCTGATCCAGCACCTTGTCGAGGGTATCCCTCAGCTCATCGACGCGCTTCTTCGCCAGTCCCACAAGGACACCGAGCTTACCGCCCTCGCCCTCGGCCTTGACCACCTTGCCTCTCTCCGCCCGCTCAACCTCATCGTACTTCCTCTGCAGCTCCGCCTTCTGCACCTCCAGATTCGCCAACTCCTCTTTGAGGGTAGCAACCTTGTTTTCCACTCTCCGGCGCAGCTCGCGCGCCTCCTTGACGAGCGTCCGTCTCCGATTGGCCGACCTTTCCTTGCTCTGTCTCCGCTCCTCTTCGATACGGCGGTACTCCTTCCCGATAGAAGCGCAGCGGTTCTCGCACTTGGTGCCGCCGACGTGCAGGGACTCGTCGGTGCCGTCGCAGCACAGTTCGTGATCGCACACGCCGTCGTTGACGTACATGAAGGGGATGTAGGCGCCGATGTGGCCCTTGTTTTCACACCAGAAACCGGGAAGGGCGCGCGTGGTGTTGGTGGTGCCCGTCACGGAACCGGGCAGGGGCTGCTCGGGAGACAAAGGGTCTAGGTGCGAGCATGCTGAGGTGCCGGGCTCGTCGGAGCCATCGGGGCAGTCGCACGAGTTGTCGTTGACTTGGGAGGAGCGGAGGACGACGGAGGGGTTGCTGATGCAGGTAAAGGTTTCTTTGTTGGTGTAGAACTTTGCGACTGTTGGGAGGTGATGAGAGGGGGTAATTAGCTATCGGGGTCCGGACGGATGGGAACATGGGGTCATTGGTATAGTTGATGGAGAAAGTATTGGATGAAACAGATAGAGAGAGATTTCTCTCGATCTGAAGTGGTAGTATCACATCAATTCGTGAATTCACACTCCAAAACACCATCTCGGGCGGCCCATCAAGGTGCGTAAACAACATGGGAAGCTTCCACTTACATTCAGGCCCAACTCCTCTGGGGGCGCTTTCAGTAGCAGCGATAGTGCCAGTGGGAGCAATGGTGCTCAGCAGCACCAAAGCAGCAGTCCGTCTCATTGTTGTGTATGTGCCACTGTAATATCCTACCAACAAAAAAGGAGGATAGGTAGAACGGAACAATCTCAAACCATTCAGAAGCTCAAAAGGTTTGGAAAAGCAATTGGATGCCAGTTGTACAGCTTCACCAGATCGTTGACATGCCCCTGCTGTAGCTCGACGGGCGGATAGCTGTCCGTCCAGTGGGGGCCTTCTGTAATTGTCAGTGCAAGGCCCAGGGGTCAGGACAGCTTGCACTCCTGCCAGCTGTCAGTTTGTGGATGTGTCACGTGCTGTTTCTGCCGGACGGCAATTGTTAAGCGCCGCTGCCAAAATTTGAGACGGTTCAGGCCCGGGAAGCTCGCCCTTGCTTGCCGCTGCCGAGCCGCGTCAAACAAATAACCCCACTCAGAACGTCGACCCCGCCGTAGAAAAAGTTCCCCCAAGGCCCAAGCTGCCCCGCGATTTCGCGATAGCATCAAGTTCAAGTTGTCAACTCATCGGCGACGGGATATCCACAACGACCACGACGACCACGACGGAAAAGAAAGCGCAAACCCTGGCGCAAACTACTTAGTCCATACACCCTTCGGCTGGGCAACTTTGATCCAGATAATCAAATCATCATGTCCACCACCACCCCCGCCACGGCCACGGGTCTCGAAGCCCTCAACAACCTCGTCACCTCAACCCTCGACCTCATCACCCGCCTCGAATCCGTCGTCGCGAGTCTAACCGCCGAAAATGCCCGCCCTTCTCCATCCTCATCCTCATCCACCACTTCATCCGAACAAACGAACCTCCACCCGGAAATCAACCCCCTCCTTCTCGCCTCCGACGCCTCCACCCTCCTGCGCGCCCATGCCACCAAGCTCTCCCTGCTAATCATCAACGAGCCCTTCACCCCTTCCGCAATAATCTCCATCCTGCGACAACTTACTTCGGGTCCTCTGCCCGGTCTGGCCTCCGCCGCGCAGATTTGCGGCAATCCCTCGTCGCAATGGACCAAGACAATCAGCGCCGATTTATGCTATCGGATTTCGCGGGTGCTTAAGGAAACCAGATCGCTAGTGGAAAAGATACCAAGGGACGGAAAGGCGTTGAAGGAACCCCCCTCGGGAGCTGGACAACAAAAGGGCGGTAGTAGGGGCAGTGGAAAGCAGGGAAGTGTAGCGAACACGGGCACGTTATGGGCGGCGTGTGACGAGCTTGTTGCTTTTTCCAAGCGCGGGCTTGGCGGGAATTTGGTGAAGAAGACGGAGGAGATGAGGGATACGGTTAAGGATGTTATGGAGGAACTGAAGGAGTGGGGGGAGGAGACTGGATCTGATGACGAAGAGGAGGATGACGAGGATGAGGATGATGACGACGAGGAGGAGGATAAGAACGTAAAGGACGTGACGCAAAGTTTGGAAGCGGCCAAGATCGCAGACACACAAGCCATGCTTGACGATCTAATGAACTCGTCTAGTTACATCCCGCGCGACGACCCGGACAAGATCCGCGAACGGCTGGAGAGCTGTTTGCGCCGGTTGAGGCTGGTCACGCTGCTGTACCAGGCTGTGGCGAAGCGCAGGTTCAAGAGTCTGCCGCAGGCTGCGCCGGCCGAGGGGTCGGATATTCCGAAGAGGTTGGACGAGATTATGGTTCTGCTGAAGAAGATCCCGGAGAGGTTCGGTAGCTTGGCGCTGGCTTTCTACGAGCTGGATCCCGTCGAGATTGACAAGTTGATGGACCAGTGCTTCTTTGACTGCTTTGCTGTGGCTGAGCTGTTGATCAAGCCATGGGATGGAGAGAAAGATGAGTTCTCGGATTGGGTGGTCAAGTTCCAGGCGGAGATCAAGAAGGCTTGAACCTTTGAGAGGGGGAGGTTTTGTCTGAAAAGCAAAGGAGCGTCTATTTCATGTACGAAGGAGTGAAACTACTATATACCCAATTTCCATTGCCAGTGGTGGCAGCCAACAAGATCCCCAAATTACCCAAAGTTCCGAAGCTGCGTCTCTAGTTCCGTATCCTTCCTGGCATTATACGCTTGCGCGTCATCTTCGTTCTATTAGTCTAGCCAATTTTCCACCTCTTAAGCCCAGTATGTACCCTATCAAATGATTAGGAGTAGATTGGTGAGTGAGGATACGACGTCTTCAACTCCCATTAGATACCGGAGTCGTTCTTCGGATGCCAAAGGGGTTTGGTCTCGATGTAGCCTTGCCATGCCTTGCAGTTGTCTTCGACAAAGCTCAAGTCCATCTTGTGGATTTCGTCGGCCCTTTCGAGGAACTGTACGCTCAAGCCTAGACTGGCGTGCCACTGCATTGATTTGGTCAGCATACCGAGCTTCGTGGTTTGGGGCCAGGAGGCGCTCCCTTACAGCAATATGGCAGTGGAACAGCCAAGCACCAGGGTTGTCGTTTCGGAAGGCCACGATCAGCCACCCTTTGCCAGGCAACATTGTGGCATCACGGCGTGTGGGGTTAGTGAAGTTTAGTTTGGGAGTGTCATTGACAGGGTCAAAATGCTGTTGAATGACATCGTCTCTGACCGGTTGTACTTCCGCTGGCGATCTACCGATCACAACAAAGTCGTGCCCCTTTTGTTTCCCACATGTGTAAGCATCCGGTTGTTTTTCGTCATTCAGGATGGATGGTGAGGATCGACCAACTCTAGCAGGATTATTGGGCTATGAGTAAGAATGAATGTGAAGGGGGCTTACATGTAGATGCATCGGATGAGGAAGTCCAGACTCATTCTCAATAAGCCAAAAGCTCCACTATAAACGTTACCTACTGTTAGTGGACTCACAATGGCCACTTTGAGCAGGATCATTATGAAAGGGGGACTAACCTGGCTGTCACGGGGAATCTCGAGTAAGTTTTCCTCCTTTGGCCATGAAGTGCTCCCATTCCTGACGTACTCCAAGATAGGCTTCTCCCAGGTGACGTTCAAAGCCATTTTGTTGACTCGCCAGTATACCTGGCTGGTCTCGCTTTTGTTGTTCCACAGATCGACTGAAAGTGTGTTTGACTTAGTGATGCTAAATTCTGTTTCCGGAATTGTCCGTGGCACGACCGGCATGAAATCCGTCCTGTCTTCGCATCTTAAATCTTCTGGGACTGGGCCATCGGCATTTGGAAGCTGGTCTATCGCTCCCGGGTAATCGTACCTCAGGATAGCTGCAGGACGTCCTTCAGCTATCTTGTATGCTCCACAGAGTCCGTTAGTAGGCAGTGTGGCATTGATCCAATAGTTACCGTTGCTCAGGTCACTAGCTATCTCTTCTTCGGTCTTTCCCTGGATAATGACATCGTATCGTTGCCCTATACCCACAAAAATGCTCGAGACCGTCGTATTATTAGAGGTATCAAGAGGGACGAGGTCATTTGCAATGACGGTAAAGTTGTGTCCCACGATGGTAAATGTGAAAGTGTAATCCACGCTAGGATTAATCAACCGAAGTCTGTGCTTCAGCCCCGGGGTTAGGACTACCTTTGCGTATGTCCCCTTGGTGGGATCATCTGGGTCGATGTGGGTACCATTGAACAGAATGTTGCTGGCAGGGGGCGGCGGTCCAGTACTATTGATGTCCTGAATATTGTTCAAGATCACGTCTGCTGAATCGTAGTACCAGTCATTGATAGGGAGGGTGCCCAAATCGACATGGTAGTTGGCACTGGCAGGCCCGTTGATCACCAGCGGGCCAAACACGCCGTTTCCGTACTGTGACGAGTGATGAGAGTGGTACCAAGTAGTTCCATACTGCTGGGCCAGGAACACATAGGACTTGGTCCCGTTTGGCGGGATTGGGCACTCGGTGATACCATTGACACCATCGTTGATGTTGTTGTTTAGCATTCGGATGCCATGCCAGTGAATAGACGTTCTATGACCCGTTAGTTCAAAGTTCAGCATGTTATAGTATCAATCCACGAGACACTAAAGAATTTTCTAGCGAGAACTCTGGCGACGTACCCATTAGCCGGAAGCTTGTTAATCACGGTGACGTTGATCCAGTCACCCCAATCTGTGTTCTTATTAGTTCTAAGGTCTTGACGAGTGTTTTGAAACCTCGGCATGTCATGATAACTCACCTGCGATAATTGTTGGACCTGCATGGGAAGGTCAGTAGTGTTTCATCAGAATAAGCAAAGTCAGAACTCACCAGGGTAGGAGCCTAGAGAGATGTTAGCTGTGTTTTGGGACCTTGAGGTCAAGCTCTTCCTGATGCTTACCATTAAACAGCATTGCATCATTCTTAATGTGGCCATCCGGACCAGTGTATCTTTCGTGCTGCTCAAGGACAAGCGTGTACTAACATTTGTTAGCTGGAGTCGAACTCGAATTTCTGTATAGTTGTGATTCCTACATTCCGAGCATTATTCAGAGTATGGTCGGTCAATGGTGTATTCTCCTCCCAGTCCGTCATGATATCGAATCCGTCTCTCCAGCACGCCCGGTTATCTGGAGTATTGCATGTCAATTCTCTCTTTGCCAAAGGAGTCGCGGTGGCAGCATCGAGGACTGTCAAGGCTTGGAGTAAGCCGAGAGCGAAAGCTTTGGGAATCATTCTGAGAATGTAAGGGCCGCGACCGAGGCTCTGAGAAGGAACAAGATGTTTGATAAGTAAAACCAACAGCCGTTACTTCTGCAAGGGCAAGTAGCTGTTTGAACAACGCGATATTGGTTAAGAGAGCTGCAATAAAGTTGTGTATGGTATGCTGGTCTTGGAATATAATGATGCCTTGATGGAAAGGAAGCCTTCTTATATGTCAACAACAACTCAAAGCCGGGCTGCTTGCCAATCGCTCCATCGCGTGGAGCATGGTCTTGTGAATGTCATAATCCGACAAGCATCACCAACACGTCCTGTGCCATAAGCAAGGTACCAAGTCAAGATGTGAAGCGTTCCTAACCGTACCCTTCTCAAACGCGAGCATAAACCCTAAAATGGTATGTTGGGCCAGGGCGCGTGAAGCAATCGGGTATGTAACACACGGTGAGTGGGACTTTGGCTTTGAAAGGCTACCGGATTGGGCTCTTGACGGTTGTTCTACCGAGTCATTCTCTCCACGGTGAGCCAAAGCGGAAAAGATGATGTTGGCTCTATGAGGTCCGTGGAGGTCATGTTACGAGAAATCATGGAATGGTTGCATGTAAGACTTGTCACTTGAACGGGTCCAACAAGGCAGCGTAAAACATTACTTATCAGAGCGAGGAGTCAACAGATGGCAGCCACAACTTCTTGGTATAGTTTTCGGGTCTAAAATCATTAAGTATCTTGCAGGCGCGATGAGGACAGTGACCAAAACTGATGACCCCCGTATAGACAGGTAAAAGCAACCCATCTTACCTGCTGCACGGCTAACAGTGTTCAAAAGGGTACCAAGACAGCATGGCATGTAAACCTTTGATATCAAAGTATAGTAGACACTGCCATCGGGCAAGCGGCCGCCAACTGCCCATATCCGCCAATGTCAAGGAAAGGGCGGTGCTCAACCAATCCCACTTGGCGATCTAGCTCACCAACACCAGGTAACACAAGTGAGTTCAGGGACATGATGCGAATAAGCATATGCAAGGGACGACGATTATATGCCTAAGGAAGGCAAGTTGAAGCCCACTTGGCATTTGAAGTCTTGTAACGCCCGTGGTTATGAACAGACATCTACTAATGTCCATTGAAGATGGTGTTGCCGTTGGTGCCGCTGGAATATCAGTGGAAGGACAAGGAAGCTTTGGAAATACGATGTGAAAATAGGGGAATGTGTCCCGTTACGGGTCGGGATGTCCTTGACAGTACATTAGCAATACCGAACCGTTCCCTTGGGGCATAGGGCTGAAAGTAACAAGGGGTTTGTGTGGATGCGTAATTTGGGCAAGGCGACAGGAAATGAAGCCAGGATCTCGAACCTGGGAACCGGGAAAGCGGAACATTACAAACCAGCCAGTAACATCAGATCAGTGTTTGGCAGCATACGGCTACACTAACCGGTGTTCAGGACAGCAACTAGATACGTGCTTGGATATGTAAGTTTGGGGACAACAACACCCCTGGAACGACAGGGATAGACCGAAACCATATGGATAACAGTATGCAGCTGAGAGGTCGGCCAGGGCTAGGAGAGGAACAAGCCGCGAATCAGAACGTGTTCCCTTCCGCCCAGGGATACGACGAAAGACCCGTATGGCATGGCTCAAGCCTCATCTATACCTTCATCCTCGGGGAATTCCAAGAACCTGGTTGACAACGACTTGGCATGTTGCTGGCGATCGGTCTAAAGCGAGGCGTTAAGAGCCACAACGGTTACTAACGGCGCTGGTTTTGTTGAGGCGCCTGGTGACTGTTCCTGTTCAGGTTTTTCCCTGTTTTGGGTGCGGAAAATGCAGGCTCATGGGATTGTAGGTAGATATTAACACTTGTTTATAGACCATGGAATTCGTTGTTGATAAGCCATGTGACACGAGGAGGGTCCTGTTAGGATGACTCCTCATACCAACGCTTCAATGCTTTTGGCAGCGTAGTTGTAGCACGAACCTACGGTCTCGTGTTGATGAGGCCTTGGGTAAAACTTGCGGGTGAGAAGTTGGGGGGTCAAGATTGGTGTGCCTGCAATCTCGGAATGCCCTGTCAGGTGTTCCCGTCGTTACATCCAAGTGTTGTGTGCCGTTGTGTCAGCATCAGCGCATGCCGAGGTTGATGACGACAAGCTGTCAACAGGGTTCGGGACGTGGGGGTTTCTGTTGCCGGTCAGCCACCTAAGCCTCGAGGTTTTTGGGATGTATGTCAGCATCGGTGACTCTGCAGTGTATCTCGGAGAGGGTGTGTGAAAACGTGGATTGCGAATGGGAGACCCGACTCGGATCAAAATCTCCCACCTGGCCGGCCTCGGACTTTGCGAATTCTAGTTTTGCTGACAGAGCCGCATTCTTCAACGGTCAGGTGGAGCCCCCAGTCATTGCCCAACAGGCGACACGTCAATATTGGCAGTTGGCTCGACATTGTGTGCGTGGGTGTCGCCAACGGATTGGAAAGTCTGGATTGTGTCGGAGTTGGCCGAAAGGACGATGATGTTGGTGATGTCCAAGATGGGAAAAGTGGAAGAGAGAATTCACCGAAAAAGGATTGCGCGATAAAAAGAGATCATATTGGTCGGATTTGAAGCACCTTCAGCGAGGAGGGATGGCTGGGACCAGTGGCATGACACTCGAATAGAAATGCCACACTGACGAAGTGGATGTGAGGAAAATCGACCGGAAAGTAAGGAAGAAGTCAAAAGACTGAAGCATGGATTCGGACAAAACCTATGGAAGGTGCGAAATATTTCTAAGCAGAATTGGTTAGTTGAGGAAGGAGCACCCGCAGCTGGCGAGTCTCCCTGTTCAAGCCTTCCACATCTTGCAGATGTTAAGAGCGTCGACTTCAAAATCCACGTGATGAGATAAATTGTAATCCTCCAAATACACTTCATCTTTAAAGCTTTAAAAGCATGGATGTTCGGATGTTGGTGACAGAGTGTCGCGTGCTCTCTTCAACGGGGCATGAGAGGCCTCCCACGCCTCTTTGAAGTTCTTTGTGTTTGCCCAAAAAAACACCCAGTTGAGTTGAAGGATTGGAGCCAAACCCGTTGAAACATGCTAATTGAATGCTAGGACAATGAGTAGAAGGACACAGACGAGAAAGAAGTTGCTGATAAGCATTATTCAAAAAGCGTCAAGCAAGGGGTCCATACCTATACGGAAGGGAAGGACAGCGGCATATTTCGCTGTTCCTCCTTTAACAGAGTCATGATCCAGAAAGCCATCTCAACCTTCCGGGACCTGTTCCTGAATCGTGACGAGCCCAAATCTCGGTGCTTTGGTGGCTGTCGTGAAGCATTGGCTGGACGTAGCCCGAAAGAAGAATGACTGGAGATGGATGGACAGCATACACTAGGTTGCCTTGAAGGATGACTTTGAACCAGGAGCCGGTGATAAAGAGACACCTGGTAGATGGTAAACAAGGGCCTTATCATAGGCCCCTTATCGTGGTCTGCTCTTGTTGATTCCCCGGTTGGCGACATGCCAAGCAGAGACGGAGGTGAAGTTGGGACGAGAACCGCCAAATTTGGTGTCCGCCTTCGTTGCCGGCGCAACCAACCTGGCCTTATCCACGTTCACTTCAACTCCCGTCAACCACTGGCAACCTTCCCGCCCGTCCTCATCTTGAGCGGTGGCATGCTTGGTGAATGCTCGTCCTGATCACTTTTCGTCTCGCACCAAAAACCATTGCCTAATCTTTCAACTCGCCCCTCCTTTTTTCGTTCACAATCGCTTGAGAAAATCGCAAAACCACGACTCAATCGTGAACGCACAAAAGATGGCAGCGGCGCATTCAATCAGCGCGCGCAGCATGCCTTCAATGTCCACTCAACAGTACGGTATTGACCAAACTCCTCGCCCGCCCTCAGCATCACTTGGCCGCAAGAGTTCGATTCGCGCCGTCCCCTACGACCCAATCGACACTCGCCTACCCATCGCGCCCTCCTTGTCGGGCGCTTCAATCGGCAGCTATTCACCTTCCGGTTGGCCTTTTCCCAAGGGCCATCAGAGGCAAAACAGCAAATCCAAGTTGCCGTAAGATCATTCATCGATGCGCGAGTACACCCCATTGTTTGTGTCACTAACTCGGGTTCGTTCTGCGCAGTATTCCTGTTGACAGCGGTAGTCCGACGAGAATGGCTCGCAGAGAGACCTCTCCGACACGCAAATTTGCTCAGAGATCGGTGATGAGAGCGGCAGCGAGTGCCCCATCTCGCCAGGGCAGTTTCCACGAGTCATCCTTGCGGAATGAGACCTACAACAATAGCGAATCATCCCCAGATAAGGAGCGAGATTCTGATGAGATTGACAATGGTACCATCCGTGCCTCCCAGACCATGGGTGCTAAAATGGACGAGAGCGAGGAGAGACCCAAGTCTCGTCACGGACGCGCGGAGTCTCTCACGCGAGCTTCCGCTTCGTCACTTGCCAGCCGTCCAAAGACACCTTTTCCTTTCTCAGGCCCCGGTGACTCGCCCCCTGAGCGACCCACGAATCCCACTCCTCATGCTGGACTGACGAAGCAATCCGAGAGGTTGGAGGATCCTCGATTCACCGCCGAATATTTCGAAACCATCAGCATCCGCGATCATGCGCCGAGTCCTGAGCCACTCACTCCTCCTCACCGTCTTTCCGTGGCGCAAAGCGACTCGACCGATGCCATGTACGGAGGTAGTCGTCAAGTTTCCACATTTTCAACCGTCCACGAAGTTGACGAGGAAGGTGGTGACCACGACACAGGGACACGGGACACACTGGATCTCGAGCGCACCATGACTTTCATGCAAGATACTTCGGAAGACCAGACCTTCGCCGACAAGAACATCAGCCTGGAGAGCTCCGTTCAACAAGACGAAAGCACTCTGAGCTCAAGGCGCGCCAGTAACCCTTTTGGCTTCCACAAAAATGTGGACATCGGCGATGGTACTCCTGACCGGGGCATCATGCTGATAGACCCCAATCTTACCGCCGACCTCACGAGCCACAACATCTCGCGAGTCACTTCCGGCTCGCGCATGTGGACACCGCTTCCCAACATCGACTCGATCCGTCGCGGCCCCAAGATTCGCCATGATCGCGTCATCCCAGAGCCCGGCGGTGGTTCTGGCGGCATAGCTCCCGCCCGTAGCGGCCTCATTCCACCCGTCAACACCCTCGCCGACTTGGCCATCCTCGGCGGTAACGGCAGTGGCAATAAGTTGAACGACCTCGAAGACCAGGACCCAGAGCAACAGGAAACGGCACGGAAAGCAATGCGCCTCCAGAAGTGGCTCGTGCCCGTGTCATTCGGCGTGCTGCAAGTGTCCATCATCTCCTTCGTGGCCAGCATCGCCGTCTACGCTTCTCGTGCCTCTCAGTCGCCCATTTCTGCGGGTATCATTGCTTGGATCAGCATCAGTACCGTGCTACTGGTCTCCTCCCTCGCCACGTTGCTTATTGGTGTCTGCGCCGTCGCGAGTCTGAGGAAACAGGAGACGGGCGAAGATCCCTGGATCGAAATGCACCGTCTCGCTCGTGCTCTTCCTCCTCGCCCGCCTGCTGAGAAGGAGGGCAACGACAAGGCCGATAAGAAGAGCAAGGCATTGGCGGAAGAGGATAAGGCCGCAACTGAAGAGGCGTGGAAAAAGTTTGCTGACGACCAGGAGCAGCTGCGGAAGTATGTCGAGAAGTTGGAGCAGGAGATCTTGAACATCAAGGAAAAGAGGAAAGAGGAGCATGGCGTGATGCATGCTGCGCAGAAGCAGCAACAAAAGCCGGAGCTGCATCCCATTGGCACCGCTATTTCCACTGGCGACCAAACCCCCGATTCCAAAGCTAACTCTCACTCCCACAAACAACCCACGTTCGAAGACTGCCCCTCCCATTGCAACGGATCCTCCGAGGGAGCAGACGAAGACATCACCCTCACCCCCAAAGCTTCCAAAGCAACCCAGACCACAACGAAACCAAGCGACTCCCGTATCGCAGACAACAAGCCAACCTACTACCACACCTCTGGCGGTCACCGCCGTCGCCCGCGTTCCAACACAACCCACACAACCGGTCACCAATCCCTCCACCGCCTGCTCGGTCCTCCCTCTGAGTTGGACTCCGGCCACTTCCAGCGTACTGGACTCGGAGTGCCTGCCAGTAACAGCGGCGGGACCATTGCGTCTTTGAATCTTCACATCTATCATAGCCCCGGTCAAAACCTCGTTGACTATAACCACCACGGTTATAACCATAACAACCATGGCCCCGACAGCCAGGCGCAAGTTGAAAATCAGGCGCAGGCTCGCAACGCCGGTCGTGACCACGGTGACAATCACCACAATCACGACCATAACCAGAACGATAACCATCCCCCTACCACCTACAAACACGCCCACAACAATGCCCACGGCGACCGCGTGCTACCTCCCACTCAGTCCCCCGCCCACACCGCGATCTTCACCCGCACACCATCAGGAGTAGTGGAATTCAGAGGCGTGCCCATCTCGCAAACTCAGTCCAGCATCCTAACCGAGCTGTGCGAGGCCGTCACCCTCTCCAGTCTCAGCCGTACCGGCTCTAGCACATTTGGGGGTATTGAGTCCTACAGTCCCCTCGGAAGAGACGAGATCTCGGGAGCGATGAGGAAGGCGGGCGTCAACAACCACACCAACAATATCAACAAGGGAGTGACACCCTCGCCTTCCCCCCGACCCTCGCAGTCGATGATGAATCAACCAGAAACATTTCCCGTCTCGGTGGGAACCTCTTCGTCGTCTGCCAGTGCCAGCAACAACAGCGGCGCAGCGGCCTCGGGACGAGCGGAGAGTAACAAAACAGGCAACAGTACCAGAACGGGATACAGCGGAATGCCAAAAGGAATGATGGGCGGAGTCAGAGCCGTCACGGCTAGTGATGTTGCTCCTGAGGATGATGAGCATCTCAACCATCACCACAGCGAGCATAAGCACGAGCACGAGCCGATGCCACAGATGCCACAAATGCCTGACATGGCAAAGCTAAAGCAGCAGCAGCAGCAGCGGAAGTACCTCAGCCCAGAGCCACAGCCGACTTTGAGTCAGAAGGATAAGATGGCTTATTATGGCACGTTTAGGAGGCAGCCGAGCCAGAGGGGGGATGTGAGGGGTGTGGAATTTTTCGCTGGTCCCACCAATGATGGCGAGGGTCGCTGAGTGCGCGCGTTGATGGTTGATACAAATAAGGAGGAGGAAATTTGGTGGTAACGAATGTTGTGGGAGTTATCTTTCGTTTTGTTTTGTTTCTGTGTTTGCTGTTCACGGATAACCAGGGACAAGACTGTGGCGGTGTTAGCATGTGTTTTCAAGCAGTTATGGGCGTCTGGCTTTTTTCTTTTTTCTTTTGTTTTCGTTTTTCGCCTTGCTATCAAGGAATCATTCATGATACCTACCAAACAGGGAAACGGGGAATCTTTGAAGGGCAAAGGGGAAAGGAAAGGGGGAAAGATATCACCTTCAAGTTTCTCTGGCTTTTGCAACATTTCATCATAGCTTCCTGATTTGTTAGCGGATACCCAAAGAAGGATACCCCAAAAGATAAGGTACCAAAAGGATACCTACATACCCAGAGGACGGAACAACGATCTGGCACATGGCCTTGAAACCGTTTGCTGTCAATATCGAAGAGCCATCACGGTTTTGGCTCGATAACCCACCACACAAAGACCATATACCTAGGTCAAGTCAATAATGGGGTGTAGAGTAGTCAAGTCAGAGCACGAGGGGAGAGAATTTCAAGTATCAAAGAATGTGGAAGGAAGGAGATATCAGCGGAAGCTGTATGCTTAAACCATGTACAAGTATTGATTGACACGAGCGAAACCTTGTTATAACGAATAGTCATGATCAGATCAGCGAGCTACTCTGACAAGCACCAGATAACTCAGATAGAGAGAGAGAGAGAGAGAGAGATCCGAAGACAACGAAAATACGCAATACCTTCCTTATGTGACTGAGCTCCTCAAATCGCCCTCGCCATCCTCGCCCTATTCTCTCTATACCTCTTCTCCTTACCCACCAACTTCCTGCGCTTCTTCCACGACCGGTTCAGATCACCGCGGTGTTCCCAGAACCACTTTTGGAAATCGCTGGTCGCGTCAGCACCAGTCTCTGTAGATCCCGTCGCTCCCGCAACGGCATCCACCATATCAGCATCCTCATCCTCTTCATCATCCTCTTTACCCGACTCATTATCATCCTCCCACGGCTTAAACCTTCCGCGGCTCGGGTGCGCCGTATCAGGCGTAGGCGCAGCACTTCTAAGACCGCGAGACTCGAAGTCATTCTCAGTGTAAGGCGTCAGAGGCACCTGGAGAGTGGTAGGGCGTGTGGTGACTTCCTCCTCATCCTCTTCGATATCGTCATTGTTACCGCCGAAGAAGCTGAAGCCGGTGGTGGCCTGCTGGTTTTCTGCCGCGGCTGCTTCTCCGTCTACTACCTTGGGCTTCTTGTAGAGCGCCTCAAGGGGGTGCACCTCGGTTTTGGTGCTGGTGGCTGGGGCAGGGGTTGCGGGAGGAGGAGGGATGCGGATGGAGAGGTTCTTGCCGGGACTGGAGGTGGTCTTGGAAGTGACCTTGTTTGAGGTTGGTGGAGGTGTTGAGGCTTTCTCTTTCTTTGCTGGGGGAGAAGAAGCGTCTTTGTCGTCGTCGTCGTCGTCGTCGCTGGATTCGGCGTCGGAGGCTGACTCTTCTTTTGCGGGTTCGGGAGCAGGCTTGGTCTCTTTCTCGTCTTCTGACTTCTCCTCGGCCTCACTGCCCGACTCGTCCTCCTTGTCGTCCTTCTTCTTGTCCTCCTTCTCCTCCTCCTCATCCTCATCCTCATCCTCTTCCTCGCTGCTAGACTCATGGTACAACTTGATAATCCTCGTCTCGCCTTCATCCTCAGAAGACGACGATGAAGAGTCGTCCTCCTCCTCCTCGGGCTGGAGCTCAGCATCAAGCGTAAGCAAGCCCGTAGTCGGTTTCCGCGTGGCCTTGACCTCCTCCACCACATTTCCATCCTCATCCACCCAGCACTTCTTCTCCTCGTCAAACTGTGGAGGGGCCTTCTTCGAGGAGCCAGAAGTGGTCGCCGCCTTGAGGAACGTCGGGAACTTGGTCGTCTTGGCAAACTCATGAACCACCACCTCGCGCTTGTTGTCCTTCTTCTTCTTCTTGACCATACCCTCCACGCCCTCGGTATTGGCTACCTTGTTAGGCGGCAGCACCGTCTTGACGAGACACTCGTCATGGTCCGTGTATTTCGACTTGACGCGTTGCTTCTTCTTGTCCTTCTTATCTTTCTTTTCTTTCTTATCCTTCTTGTCGCGCTTGTCCTTGCGCTCCTTCTTGGGCTCGTCGGCGGACGTCCATCCTCGCTTGACCTGTCTGCCCTCTTCCAGGACGACTCCGGTGATCTCCTCGCGCTTGCGCTTCTTGGACTTCTTCTTGTCCTCTGACGACAACAAAGAATCACGCGACTTCTTGGACCTTTTCTCCTTCTTCTCCTTCTTCTTTTCGTCGGCCAGGGCGACTTCTTCGCCCAGCGGCGCGGGGGTCTTGTCTGGTTTGGCGGGGTCGACCTTCATCTTGTTTCCTCTCAGCACGGCGCCGTTGAACTTTTTGCGGACCTTGTCGGCGTCTTCCTTGGGAAGTTCGACGAAGCCGTAACGCCTCTCGGGGAAAGTTTCGAGCGTGTGGAAGGAGATGTTGCGAGCCTTGGGAAGCAAGGTCGAGTTGAGGACCACGGGGAGAAGTTCGGCGTCTAGCGGGGAGACGTGTAGCCGGACGTAGGCGTTACTGCTGCTGCTGTCAGATATCGCTGCAGCAACCGGGGTCTCGGGCATTTCTTTTTGTGTTGGTGTGACCGGTTTGAAACAGAGCGGTTATCAAAGTGCCATGTGATGGGACGGTTGCCAATTGAACTTCTTTTTTGGTGATGTTTTGTTAGTGGATTTTAGCCGCCAAATTGATCGCAGCGAAGAAGGGAAAGCTCTTTGCAGAGCGCAGCGGGTCGGATTGGAATGCGACAGTGGCAGGGGCAGAGTCTGGACCCCAACCCACTGCGCACAAAGAGCTTGCATCCCCGGCAGGCACTGGTGGGGCATTCCTGATTGGCGGATATCAGCGATAAGCTCGGACATGGGTGTTTGAAAGCGAAACATGATCAACACGAACATGACTTGTAGGCAGAGGATGAGTGACAGTAACAGATTGGTTGAGCCTGTAGCAATTTGGGTGATCTTCTAAAGGTGTAGTAAGTACTCGAGGATTCTGACAGCATTCTGAAACCATCAAGCTCAGAGATCCTCAAACTTGAATAGCAACAGACAAGTACAGACACTGGACCAACAGACGTCAGGCTTCCTTTGTCCTGTCTGCCAGTATTGATATTGTACGGTTGGCGATAATGTAGATCTGTTGCAGCTACCATTCTGACCGTCATTCTAGGAAGAGTTAATAAGAGGGCACAGGAGATAGAAGGTGGCGTTACTGGTTAACAGGTATCACACAATTTAGCAGATCTGACTGAACTTGAGGAGCTGGGGAGCTGGGGATCCGGAGAGAAGAGCCACAGATTCTCAAGATAACACGTAGGTTCGGTATACAAACGAAGAGAGGAGTATAAATCCATATTGAAGATTGTAAAAAGAACGGCTAGAAAGCACGTACCCGTGTCCCGTGTTCCCAAGACGCCGTCCATGATATGCATGATATGCCGTTATAAAAAACAGAGATGATTAAAAAGCAAAATCCAAAACCGCCTTTGTCCACAATCACATCCCTTTTACACGCCCACGCCCACGCCCATCCACCCAATCCATTTTTTGCTTCTTCTCCACAATAATCATTCAGTGTTGCCCAGCCAAGAAATTTGAGCTGTCACCACCCGACTTGTCTTTCTTCACTTGCTTCACTCCTGCTCCCGGACCTCACCGCCGGAAGCCTTCCACCAGACATCACCGCCCCACCTCAGCAAGCGCTCGCAAGCGCCGGTAACCGATACGGCAGGTCTGACGTCAAGGTAGAAGACGGGCTCGCCAGTGGGCTCGGGAGGAGCAGAGTAGAAGTCGATCACGTAACGGACCTCCTTCTTCTCGCCGTCGGGGGTTTCGCGGGAGACGTACCAATCGTGGCGATCAAAGGGGGGTTCGGTGCTAGATAGTCACATAATCGTTAGCAAAAAGCCACTTCCACTTCAAACATCATCCCCAAAACCAAACCTTGAAAAGAGGACAAATACTTACGCATACTTGGGGTTTATCCTTCCCAAAACCTGCAACAACGCCGCCTTGGGCGTCATATCCTTTGGCCTGCCCTGGAACCGAATCAGCGTCGGCTGGGGCTCCGGGTCATTCTCCTGCGCCTCCAGCCGGCGCAGTATCATTGGCGCGTTCTCCTCGCCGCGCTTCATGATCTCCCAGCCGCGCATGAGGCCCTTGCCGAACCGGCGCTCCCACTCGACAACCTCGTTCCACGCGCCCTCGTTCAGGAAATTATGTACGGCCACCATGCTCTCCACGGCCGTGATGTCGGTGTCCGTGTAGCCCTTGCGCAAAAGAGCGTTGTACATCTGCTGGGGAGAGGGGTACTCCCAGTTGCCGTCACCGGTGCCCTTGGGGATGGAGGAGGGGTCGCGCTCGGTCGGCAGGGCGATGGCCTGGTTGGGCGCGGGCTCTTGCGAGATGGAGGAGAACATGTAGTTGAGCGGGTTGAGCTTGGAGAGGAAGGAGGGCTCGGAAGCGGCGGCGGCGGGTTGGTGATGTTCAGGCTGCTGGTGTTGCTTGGGCGCGACGGTGGCAGCGGCAGCGGCGAGGGTGTCCTTGGCGCCATGGTTGACTGGGCACTTGGAAGGGGGAGCGGCGGCGGGAGTCGGTTCGGGTGCTGGTGTTGCTGCGGCTTTGTGGGCGCTCAAGGCGTCCATGGTCTTGTTGTGCATGGGGCAGGAAGGCTACATGGTTGCGACAAGAGGTTAGACTCGACACTCTACTGGCAGTGGGAGAGCCCTGGTGGGGATGAGGGCGAAGTTCGAGGGCGACGATAACATACAGGAGGAGTAGCACCACTGGCGGCAAGATCCTTGTGCGACGGAGGGACGGCCGGCGCAGCGGCGGCAGCGTTTCCATCAGCCCAAAACCAACCCATTGTTACTGATTATAAAAGATGTCGTTGACGAGATAAGTATAGGTTTTGTTGTAAGTGTCGGGCAGAAGTGAAGTAGAACCGGGCTACTGATTTGAAGTGGTCGATGATATATACCAACAAGATCGCGGATATGTCGTTTCAAAGATCAAACAAAGTGGGAAAAGTCCCAAGTGCCGCGGGCAAGCAATGGAAGCTTCGATAGCAAGAAAGAGGATGAAACATAAGAGAAAAAAAAAATATGGGAGTTGAGAAATTTCGATATGAGCGGATAAAGCCGGACGGGCATGACGCGCTTGGGGCCATCGTTTCTTTGATGGCTGCCCCGCCCGACCGGGATTGACTTGCACGCAAGATTGGTCTGTGTGATAGCAAAAGACTTCACGGTCATTCTACCTTTTGTCTGATACAACCACTCACTGCAGAATAAAGTTTTTGATTGCGTGAAAAGTGTGCTAAAGACTATATGTTAGCATTAAAAACTTAACAATGCTTCCTAAGTCCATGGCAACGCATAAAATTCCATGTCATACACGTCCCAAACTCTCATATCAAGGTCTTTGACTAACAGACCGTCAGGGGAGACATGGATCGCACAACTCGAACCAGGACTTTGGGCTGAAGAGAATCCACTGAAAAGCATCCTGACACGTCCAGCTGATCCAATGACATCGCCAGAATTACAGAGCTTAGGCCGCTAATTCAGTAAGGAGAGACTCCATTCTTAACGTTGTTGCCCGGTTTCTGTTCCAAGTCAGTTCCTGTCGTCCGTTGTTTTCTCATCGAAATCTCGACTTTTTGTGCACAGGCGCAACCGCAAAAGGTACCCGACTCAAGCCGTTGCCATTCAGGTGCTCATGAATGCAGGGAGGTACCATGTCCAATAGATGTGTATGAGTGGTAAAGATGAGGATATCACTACTAAAGGATAATATGTAACACACATACCATGAGAGGTAAAGGAAAAAGAATAAACAGCAACTCCTCCAGCTTGCTTGTAAAGCGCCTCTTGGTAAAACTCCATCTTGATGCGTTCCTTCCTTCTTCCCCTTCTGCGTCAACCTTTTTCTCTATAATCAGGCTATTCCAACGCCCTTCTTCCCCATTACACATTCGGCGCCAGTAAATCATACTTGACACACCGTTCAACCTAGCACAAGCAAAACGTGTTAGCAAAAACATATCATCGGGATCATCAGGATCGGGAATACTCACATCCTCAATACTAGCCTGCGCAAACCTCCTGGCCTCCAACCCCAGCCAAACAAACATCATATGCACATCGCCCTCCATCAACATATCCTTTCCACCCTGGGCCCCCAGCTGTCTCAAAATAGGAAGCGAGCTGCTGAGCAGATCCACATCCGGATCCAACGACCGCCCGATGCCCTCCAGAAGCAAGATGCTGATAACCACATTGACGAAATCCCCCTCCAGCCTGACGTGATGCTGCCGCACCATGTTCAGCACGTTCTGCAAGATATCGCCAATCTTGATGTTCCCCAGCGCCAACGTCTTGTTCTTGACGCCCAGCACCAGATGCTGCATCTTGAGCGCAAACACCTCCTTGTCGAGCACCACGTCCGGCTGGCGGCAGCGCTCGCACATGAGGTGGCCGGCCTTGTACCCGTCGAACTCGGCCACGGCGCGGAACAGATCCAGAAAATTGGCGCGGTTGGTCGCGTTCAGCTCCGTGACCAGACCGGTGTCGATGAAGATCAGCTGCGGGCGGTATCCCTCCTTGTCGATCTTCTCTAGCTCGGCGTCCCAGGCTTCCTTGTTGTGCTTGTACGGCCGCAGGCGGGCAAGGACGTGCTCCGTCACGTCGCCGTTTTTCTTGCTGCCTGCCGCGTTTTCCGGGTGAGCGTCGCTGGGCTTGTCCCAGTGCAGGCTGAGCGTGGGCTTGTCGGACTCGTAGAAGCGCACCATGATGTTACCCGGGTGGAGGTCGGCGTGGACGAAATTGTCGAGCAGGAGCATGCGTAAGAAAGCGTCCAGACCTTCGCTAGCGATCTCTTTCTGGAAGACGCCGCCGCCGTTCGCCATGAAGTCCGCTAGGGGAATGCCATGGGCGAACTCCTCGACGAGCACGTTGCGGGTGCTGAACTCGGTGTAAGGGTAGGGAAACCAGGCTGTTGTGCGGTCTTTGAAGTTCTTGCGGAACATGGACAAGTTGGCGGCTTCGATGCGCAGGTCGAGCTGCAGCTTCATCATCTCACCGAATTGGTCAACCTCGTCTGGGAGTGAGAGCCACTCCAAGGTAGGAATCGCGTTGATCATGCGCGCAAAGAATCCCATGATCCGGAGATCGCGCCGTACGGTCCGCTCGACGCCGGGGTGTAGCACCTTGATGGCCACGTAGGACGACGGAACCCGTTTCGGTGTAGACTTCAAGACAGTCCCGACGTTTTTGGCAAACCGGCGGCTCGAATCGGAGACGTCGGCATCAGCAGGCATGGTGAGGTCCGGTTTTAGCTTGGCCCTGTAGACCTGCGCGATAGCGCCAACACCCAACGGCTTCTCGTCGAATTCCTCGAAGATCTCGTCAAAGTGGCGACCGCCGAATGCTTCCTCAACGATACGCTTCGTAGCGTTGAGAGAATGCGCAGGGGCGTCAGCATGTAGTTTCGACATGATATTGCACATCTCATCGGGGAAGATGTCCGATCGCGAGGCGGCCCATTGTCCAAGTTTGATGAAAGCAGGACCAGCCCACTCCATGGCCTGCACCAAGAACCCGTACCACCACAGCGTCCCTGATCGCTCGTTGTCGCGATCCGGCTGGCGCTCTCCGAACCAGATTGCTGGTACCGTAATGATCACCGGCACGAAGATGCCGACCAGCTCCAGGAACCGTATCCCCGGTCCACAGTGGTTCCCATATGTAAAGATCCAGAAACAGCACCATCTTCTTCCAAATTCTCTTTAACCCCGTGACGTCCTCTCCAACCTTCTTCTCCATCTCCTCCCGCGACACCTGCAGCATCCGCAACTCGGCCGTCTGTTCCGTTCCGATGTTATCCTCCTCCGAGAGCGAAACGAAGGCAGCAGTGGCTAGTGCGCCATTGGCAGCTTTGGCCCATAGTGTTACCCTTGGTCTATAATACCGACCACCATATCCTGCTCCCCCTCCTTTCCCTCCTGTCTTCTGCCATGTCTGTGAAAGTCGTGGTCGCGGGGCGCGTGGTATTGATCGGGTTACTGTAGAAAAAAGATACGAAGGAGAAGGGGTGCGTATTGGCTGTCTCGACGATGTTCGTAGCAGGTTGTGTGAAAGGAGGCCGGAACACCGGTTTGTTGCAATCGAAAGTGTCGGCGGTAGTTGAGCGCGACAAGAGAGCCGGCCGACGACGACGGCTGTCAGCCGCATGGCGGGCATGTGATGATGGCGGGCAGACGGGGGTGTCACTCGGCGCCGGGCCGTTGAGATTGTCTAGACGAAGATCGGTCGGTTTGCGTAGAAGAATGGAAGGCGTGTCGAAGTCGTGTTTCAATGGCAATCCCAACGTTTGGGGAATGCGCAGGTCCTCGTCGGTCTTGATGTTGTTGTAGGTAACATGATCTCTCGGATCTGGCGCAAACCGAACGGGAAGTTGTTGCTTGGTCGATGAGCCCTTGTTGTCGGATCGCTCGCCGAAGGATCGCCTGTGACGTAGCTGACAGGCTTTCCCGGCAACGCGCCCGCCCGAGGGGAAGTTTTTGTTAGCGGTTCCGGGTGCTGATTGGATAAGCCTACAGTAGCCGGTCCACTGTAAAGGGCACCCGACAGACGGGGTGCTCATGCCGTCATTCTTTCACGATGCCCCTGACCCCGTGCAGATCCATCATTCAATGTCAACAACACTCCGTGATGCGTGTCTGGCCGCGGTCCAAGTCAAAGTCTCAGGCAAGCTTTGAAGACGCAATGGTCGCTCAATGCGAGAATCGGTATATTACTATTCCGGTTATCATGCGATGACATTCGACCATATATCTTCTTCAGTTTCTCCCTATATCCTTGCTGCCATTACATTCCCGGTTCATCCCTTCATGAACCCTCCACACTAACTCCGTCTTGCATCCTCAGTTCCCCCACAATTACCTCCTGTCAGGAACCTGAATGACCACCGAGTTAAAGTTGACCTAAAGCACGACTGTTAGTAATGGGAGATCAGTTAGAACTAAGCGCCGGCGTGGAAACTCACCTTGTCTTCGCAATTACAGTGAATATCCGGCCCTTCCGTGACCTGGCCGTTCAACTGCAACCTTACGGGACCGAGGGTGCTCTCATCGAACGGAACCTCAAAGTACGTAGAGCCCCGTGTCGTTTGGAACTCCCTCGGTTGCCCATCTCCGAGCGTCACGGTTACCGTGTTCTCCTCCTTGGTGATGGCAACGACCGAAATCACGTCCTTAGCGCCGTGTGCCGCCAAGGCGTCGCCTCCTTGTCCCCATGCGGTTTCTGGTAGTCTGTGTCAGCGATATCATGAAGGAAATGGGTCGTATGCCAGCTTACCACCATGGTGACCAGCACTAGCCGGTGTTCTGCGATACCATGCGATTGCCACGTCCTCGAGGTTCTCTCTTGGCTTAGCCTTGGTCTTTCCAGCCTTGTAAGCCTGGATAAAATGAGGCAGAATGGCACGGTAGGCGTCGTGTGAGTAGCCCTTGACGTAGGTGTCTGCTCCTGGCACAACCTGATCGTCGCGATGGGGGTCATAGATGTAGCTTGACTCTCCATAGTCGTTCCCTGTCCAATGTTAGCACTTTTAACTATGGCCTCGGTCAAGGAGGGGAACGAACATGTGATGATCTCGACAAAGTCTGGTTGCACCTCTAGGATCTGTTGCCAACGATCATACCAGAGAGACTCGCTGGAGCAGTACCAGTTCTTGTTCCACTGTGGAAGGTCTATCCACAACGTTAGCACCTCTTCGGCTTCCATTGGCAAGTTCAAATACTAACTGGTATAGAAGTAAGGACTGACGCCCATCATGTACTTGTGCTTGTTGTTCGGTGTCCCAAAGATACCGGGCTTCTCGATCTGGAGGGCTTCCATGTACAGATGATCTTCATCCGGTCCCATCTTGTGATTGCATCCCTTCGGCCATGCATCCCAGGAGACTAAATTGGTTAGCCTACTCTAGACACCATGGGTGTGGATTGCGGGAAAACTTACAAGCACCATCGATATACTGGAGCTTCTGGCCAACTCCGTGGGGTCCAAGACTGGCCCAGTCCGGAACAAGGAAGATGCCACCGGTCGCTTGACGGACCAAAGGCCAGTTGTCAGCCCACTGAGGACCCTCAAACGTCGATACGAATGGTCTCCCATCAACTACACATTGGGCTGGCGAATACTTGAATCGGTTGATCAAGTCAATGACCTGCTGCACTGGCCACTCAAACGCAAAGCTAGTAGTTCTGGTCAGTCCTAACTTATCTATTCATGAAGAAACATGGTAATACAATATTGACTTACTCAAAAGAGATGAAAAGGACAAAGCCTCCTACCCGTTCAGCCGCCTGATACGCCAAAGCCAACTGCTCGTTAAGCCAATGATCTTGTGGTCCCGTATTCAGTGCGAATCCGTCGATGCCACATTCCTTGGCGGCTCTAATCTCATCTTCCCAGTCCTGGTAAGTGTGATTGACCGTGAGTCCCAGCTGCAATGAGGAGTCAGCACGGCAAGCTTTGATTCAAGTATGGGAACGATGTTGAGGGTATTTTACCATGTAGTGAGCAAACACCATCTTGGGGCACTTTATCCTCTTCTCCGGCTCATCGGTAACGCCGATTTCGGCACCAATTTCGGCGATAGCATCGCGAGTAGAATCTAAAAATAAACTACAATTAGCACATTTTCTGGTGTCTTTTCTCTAGTCTGAAGGAATTGTAGGAATATCAACTGCATCAAGAGCACAATGTCACGATGGCCGATTGTTTCCGGGGCAACCGGCGTTTCCGGCGTTATTCACAGTGACTGATGTGATGGTTTGGATGTTTGTCATGAACACAAAAGGCTATAACTGACCGATAAAGTCTCTCCAGCCCATCCTGTAGTACGGAACCATTGACAACAGCGAGACTAGGTTGGGAATGTGTTGGTATCACCACTTATTCAGTAGGTTCCAGAAGTGTTCCTTTCCTTGCCTTTAAATGTTTTGGTTGGAAAGGGGGCAGCAAGGAAGTGCGATAACAAAACAGGGGCGTAAAGAGGTGCCAAGCCGTTAGTGCAATGGCCCAAGCGGCCAAGCCCAAGGGCCAAGATGTGTGAGGCTCTTGGGAGATGAACGAGCTGATCAGTCGGCAACATCGGATACGGAATCGCGAGATCACCTACTGGGATGAAGCCGTTAAGTAACAATTCAGGAATGGGAACATTGGAGAAAAGTTGATGTATTCTCTGGAGGATATTGGGATTAAAAGATTTACATATCCAAGGCAGTCTTGAGCCATGATGCCTCGAAGGTCTGAAGCCGTGACACAGACATCGTGGTGCCCAAAAGTAGAGGTAGCTTACATCAGAAGGGACATTGGATATAAGCCCAGCAGTCAAGGATCCAATAATCTCCATGGTTGACATGGCCAGAAGGTAGCTTCCTTATTTGCCGTAAATCATCCAAGTTCTATTTTGGTGTCAGACTCAGATGGTGTCTTTGGAAACACATGCTGGTTGATATCAGAGAAACCCATGGTGGAAAATCCTCGGTTGCTGGTCCGAGTCTGTCAACTGGTGTTGTTTGTCACGAAGCCATTGAAAATTGAAGTTAATGGAAGTTCAGTGGGCATGCATCAGGAGACACTGGCCAGTCCGAGGAAACAGAGATAAAGCTTGAAGAAGAAACCCAGTTGGGTTACCATAAGATGGGGTATCACCACGACTTGAGGTTTGGGATTTGATATTGAAAGGGAGACAATGCAGACAGATACCTGTCGTGTCTTTGGCTCTGATGTTGAACGTGAACGTGAAAGTCGACAAAGAGGTTGCAGTTGGAGAAGCTCAGCTGGGCCCCACAGTTGGCATCCAGACCGCAGGGCAAAGTGGGACTGAGCACAGACCTCTACCCTAAAATGCACAGGCGAGGCGCACCTGGTGTTGGCCGTTAAGGTTCCCCAAGCCTATCTGGATAGGGCAGACTAGGCCTTGATTAGGGCGGATGGAGGTTTTTCCGATAACCCAGCGCATTTCGGCTCCGCACACAGTCAATTTTGGTGAAATTTCGCATCTTCCGCAACTTCACACACAACCCACCCACGTCGACCCATCAACTCGATCAGTCGCGACAATGGATTCCTCTAAGGCCCCCGTCAAGCTCGTCAAGGTCACCCGCGTCCTCGGCCGTACCGGTATGCGAAATTCCCGCCGAAATGCTGTCAAAGTCGATTTTCCCGCGAGGAAAGGCGACGCGACGGGCAAAAAACAAAGAAATGGCGAGGACACAGAAATGCTGACCAAGTTGGAATTTTGCAGGCTCTCGCGGTGGTGTTACCCAGGTCCGCGTCGAGTTCATGGACGACCAGACCCGCTCCATCATCCGTAACGTCAAGGGCCCTGGTAAATACAAGCCCGATCCCGATTGTCTACATAAAAAGACACAGCGAGAGCAGCAAAAAAACTAACAAATTTGCCCAACAGTCCGTGAGGACGACATCCTTGTCCTTCTCGAGTCCGAGCGTGAGGCCCGCCGTCTCCGTTAAGAAGTTCGATGTGACGAAAAAGGGAGGAATGAGAATTACAGCGCTACCTCGGTTTTGGCCTGTCTCGACGAGGAACGATTTCATCATGACTTGCGGCCAGGGATTCACGGAACATTCTGGGTTGGGAGTTCGGTAGAACGGCATTGCCATGATTATTCTTTCCTCCCCAAAAATCTGCTAGGTGCAGACGTTGCATTGATTCGGACCACTCCATTTCGCTGCAATCGTGTTCTCTTGTGAAGGAAGATGGGTGATACACTTGGGACATCCATTTGGGGGCTCAGGAGGACGGAGGTTTCCAGCACACAACACAACTTCGGTCGGGCATGGACTTGGGGATCTCTATGGGCAGCTCTACCTCGAATTCTCGAGGCTATTGGGGTTCTGCTCCTGCCCCAGCAGTGGCCGTCGAGGCCCGACTCCGATCAGCAACAACGCCACTTCGCGCGCCCGTTAGTCAAGCAAATCCATGCCCTCGGGCAACGTCAGCTCCAATCCGTCCGCCCTGCTCTGCAACCGAAGTCCAAAACCTCCGTCCTACCGTGTCCAATATACGCTCCAGATTCCCAAACAACGCCATGCATGAGAATGGGAGGCTTTTAGGCACAGCGACAGAGCCCTGTTGGTATTGCATCATGACAAATGTGGTAGCGTCGTAGAGACTTGTAGTAGCCAACTGGGACTGATTGATCCCTGTGCTAGTCATCGTGAAACAATGAGATCATGTGCTAAACCCCGTTGTCGAAGCCTCTCGCTAACCGCCAAACAGGAACTCCTACGCTATTCATGCTGTCTTGAGACTGCATCTCGCGACAACTGAAGACAGGCAGTTGGACAGTCCAGCAGAGAGTTCTCGAACCAAGCATATACCGCATGTTTGCCGTTCAAGTGGCAGTCGTGTTCACCTGGTTGCATTTCTTGGTTCATCAGGCATTGGGAATTAGAGGAGGATGAAGTGACGGGGATAAAGGAGTCGGCACTTGTTCTGGATACATCCTCCATGGAAGTTTTCCCGTATAAAAAGGGGTTAGGCCGTCCCCTGTCACATTACCATTTTGGACTTCGGGACCTGAAACCGCCGCTTCGAGGCTTCGACCGCAAATCCACCGTCTTGGCGGCATGAACACACACGCCTTCCCCGGAAATTCCAGTCGTTTAGCCACTGAATGTAACCTCATCCGACCGGCCGACCTTCCCGCTACGTATCCAGCTTGCCATCAACGGCCATCGGAACACATCCTCCAGTCTCCTCCAGTCTCCTCCAGTCTTATTCCGCCAATCGAGTCTCATCACAGCTTTCGATAAGACTGGGAACAACGGTTTTCACTCTGAGAACTAGGATCGCGGGAGGCATGTTTCGGCATAAATGTGTCAGTTCTTGCTCCCGTCAAGGCCATCAGGATTTATATAAGATGGCTCAAGCATCCTTGTATGCTCCTACTCCGCTTTTTTGTCACGGCAACCTTGAACGTGCCAGCTCTATCATCTCTGTTACTGCAGTTAACAGGAGAGCATCATGGGGTTCCTCAATCTCTTCCATCTGGCCTTTTTGGCCGTCTCCTTCTTCGTCTCGGGGGCACTTGCTGCCTTTGGGTACACCACCTCCGGCAACAACTTTGTCATTGACGCTGGCTCCTCGAACCCCTTGATCTTCTCCGTCAGCAAGTCCAGCTGCGACATCAACTCGATCAAGTACCGCGGTACCGAACTCCAGTACAGCAGCCAGGGCACCCACATCGGATCCGGCCTCGGCTCGGCCACCGTCTCTGTCAGTCAGATCAATGGGTCGTCGGCCAAGTTCATCAAGGTGACCTGTGTCACCTCGACCCTCACCCACTACATGATTGTCAAGGAGGCCGACAGCACCATCTACATGGCCACCTATATCACAGCCGAGCCCTCCATCGGCGAGCTCCGCTTCATCGCCCGCTTGCTGCCCGACAAGCTCCCAAGCGAGTACCCCTACGGCGAGGTTTCCACCACCACCGGCTCCTCCTCCACCGTCGAGGGCTCCGACGTCTTCGTCGTCAACGGCCAGACCCGCTCCAAGTTCTACTCCTCCACGCGCTTCATCGACGAGGACTCGCACTGCGTCTACGGCGGCTCCGACCTGATGCACGTCTGCGTTATCACCCCGCAGCAGGAGTCCTCCTCAGGCGGGCCCTTCTTCCGCGACATCGACTCCAACAACGCCGGCGCCAGCACCAACCTGTACAACTACATGAACAGCGGCCACGTGCAGACGGAGGCCTACCGCATGGGCCTGCACGGCCCGTACCTGATGACTTTCTCCCGCTCTGGCATCCCGACCCTCAAGAGCGTTGGCGACCTCTCCTGGTTCGGCGAGCTCGGCGTAACGGGCTACGTGCCCGACTCGCAGCGCGGCACCGTCACGGGCCGCGCCTCCGGCATCCCCTCCGGATTCGAAGGCGTGGTGCACTGGTACAACTCAGCCGCGCAGTACTGGGTCAAGACGGCGTCCAACGGGCAGTTCACCTCGCCCAAGATGAAGGCGGGGACATACACCATGGTTTTGTACCAGACCGAGTTCAAGGTCGCCACCTCTACCGTGACCGTCTCCGCTGGACAAACCACCACCGCCAACATCGCCAGCACCTTCAACACCAGCCATACGACGCTTTTCAAAATCGGCGAGTACGACGGCCAGCCCACGGGGTTCCGCAACGCCGACAAGTTTCTGCGCATGCACCCCTCCGACAGCCGCATGTCCAGCTGGGGCCCGCTTACCTACACCGTTGGCAGCTCTTCTTTGTCGGACTTCCCTATGGCCGTGTTCAAGAGCGTCAATAACCCCGTCACTATCAAGTTCAACCTGGCCAGCAGCGCGGCGGGCAAGGCGGCCACGCTGAGGATCGCCACCACGCTGGCCTTTGCCGGTGCGCGCCCGCAGGCGGTGGTGAACGGGTGGTCGGCGGCCGCGCCTGCTGCGCCTACCAAGATTGATAGTCGTGGTGTCACCAGGGGCGCGTACAGAGGGTTTGGAGAAGTGTATGATGTGGCGGTGCCGACGGGCAAGTTGGTTAGTGGGTCGAATACCATCACTATTAGTGCGCTGTCGGGGAGCAGTGGGGATACGTTTTTGAGTCCCAACTTTGTGAGTATTTCTTTGAGTCCTATATGGTTGTTGATGATGAGAATGTGGATTGCTAACGTTGGGATCCAGATCTTCGATGCTGTTGAGCTCTTTTACTAGAATTGATGTGGCATGGTGGAGTGACGCACTGGCGGCCTTTTATCTTTCTTACTACGACTTGTTCGTGAAGCGCTTCAACTGTAGTCTTTTTCTTTGCATAAAAGATAGCCTCCCGAGTATATAAGGCTTTGTTCATGCGTACATAAGAGTACTCCTCTCTCTGAATCCCGACATACACAGTAGAGGTACCAATCACAATTCAATGACATGCATGCATAACACTGGCGCAAATCAAGACCTACCTTGCCAAGCTTCTCCCATCTCTCCCGTCACCCAACAAAGGCCTATCCGGCGTCTCATCCTCATCTTCATCATCCTCGTCCCTCTCATCCGCCAAAAGCAAAGACGTAGTCGACGGCGTCCTCCCCTCATACCCACCAAACAACACCTCCATATCTTCCAGTGGACGGCCCTTGGTCTCCGGGTAAAGCAAGAAGATGATCGGTACGCACACCAAGTCCACCGCCATAAAGAAGAAGTAAATCTTGGACCCAAGCTCAGCAATACCGATAGGCCACAGCTGAGAGACAATGATCGAGCCCACAGCCCCGCCAGAAGCAGCGAAGCTCAACCCACGCGCGCGAGCGGCAGTAGGGAAGATCTCAGATCCGTAGACCCAAGCTGCCGGTCCGAATCCCATGCTGTAGCCGAGTGAGTAGATGAAGATGAAGACGACGCAGGTGTAGTCTGCGGCGCGGTTGGTGTTGTTGGGGTAAGCTAGGGGGAGGGCGCCGTTAATCTTGATGGGTGATGTGGGTTAGCATTCATTCATTTTCACATTCCTTTGTCCCGGTCCCGGTCCCAAAAAAGGCCAACAAGCAAATGGAAAGGAAGCGAAAACAAACTCACCAACAAAGCAAAAGCCATAATCGCCGCCCCAACAGCCAACGTCACCCTTCTCCCCACCTTGTCAATAACAAACATCTCCAACACCGTGCACCCGATCTTGAGGGTACTTTCGATCCCGCCCGCCAGCAGTGAAGTCCTTGGGCTCAGTCCCAACACCCTAAACAGGTCCGGCAGGTAATACTTCATCGCCGTGGCGCCGCACATCTGCGCCATGAAGTGCAGCAGCGTCGCTCGCCAGAGTCGCGAGAACAAGCTGGGTTTGGTGAACAGGGCGGTCCATTTCTTCAAGCTTGTGGCCTGGTAGGCGGATACGTTGCGCTTGATGTCAGTCAGTTCATCCTGGATCTGCGAAGGAGTGAAGGAGCCTTCGCGATAGAATTTCAGGGCTTTGAGGGCTTCGTCGACGCGACCGTGCTCGACGAGCCACCGGGGAGATTCGTATAGGAAGGGGAGCCCGGTGAGGAAGAGCAGGGCCGGGATGAAGGAGAGGGAGACGGAGAAGCGCCAGCCGCTCTGGTAGCCGTACGTGTCGCTCCAAAAGGTTATGGCGTAGCCCACCCTATGATATCGTTAGGATGATACCTATGGGAGTTGACGCATGTGATGACTCGTCTTCCAGTCAACTTACCAGAAGCCCGAAGCAAGTCCAGCTACAAACCCGACATGGTTCAAAACAACCAGTTTGCCTCGTTGTTTGGCCGGGGCAATTTCACTGTGCGATAAGTCACACCGGTCAGCCCTATCGATATGGTGATATCTCGCTTGGGATGAGTCCGAAACGATATGGTTTTTTCACATACCTTTGATACAACGGCACACTCGTCGAGACGATACCAGTGCCCATACCAGAAACAACCCGACCACATATCACCATACTAAGCGCCACCGACCCCGAAGCAGCTGCCTGAAGTGCCTGACCTACACATAACACGGACATGCCCACCATGGCAGCATAGCGACGGCCGAGCAGGTCCGCGGCGGGGCGGGAAAAGAATACATAACTCAGCCATGTGCCGAGGTAGTAGATGGCCGTGATGAGTCCACGCCTGTACGGGCCATAGCCGGGAATGGTCTCGCGGAAGCCGGGATGAGCGAGGACGGAGGCGAGAACGCCAACATTGTATCTGCGCAGTGAGTGTCAGTAAACTCAGTGTAAGTGGCGATGAACTCTTTTTCCGGAGCCTGTTCCCCGATGCCCCGATCCTTTGTCCCACGACTTGATCAAGGGGCTTGATCTCTGTGAGACCACGATAAAGTACACCCGACGCCCACTCGAATTTGGGTGTATCGATGAGCTCAGCAACTTCAAAAAGTCTTACCCCCAAACAAATGAGCCAAGAGCAAGCAACAGACAAAGAGAATGCAAGCGCCACGAGGCTTTAGATAAGCCCAGACCTAAGCCCTTGATTCCGTTCATCGCTGCGAGAATTCCTCCTCGGAATGCACTCCTTTTTCTTGCCGCGGAGCTCAGATCCGGAAAACAAGGTAAAGACCCGATTTGATGGTTGGCGGTACTGGTATCACTCTTCCAGATATCTCCGAGCAAACAAACGAAGCAATCAGGGCAAGTCGAACCTGAAACAATGAGTGAGGATGGCGGTTCCACGATGAGATTTTTGATTGACGAAGAAACAAGTCCACTCGGTCCCTACTCAATTTCCATCAGTGGCCGGGCAGGTCTTGCTTATATGAGACTTGTCCATAGAATTGGGTTTCAATGTGAACACCGAATTCCATGGGAATGGGGGGAGGAGTGGTGACACTGTGCAATGCCGTGGGCTCTTTCCCCGGATTTGCGCCCCTAGTTGCGTCACCTGGATCAAGCGCAACCCATCCCACGCACCGTGTGTGCCGCCACAGCGACGGGATTGGTTAGAAGTTGAGCTGACGAAGAGCTGAGTCGAACCGATTTGGACGAACCTCTGTAAAATTCCGTCCAAAAGCCCGGAGAGGTGCGGGGGTTTTGACACATTTCAACGACAGGCAGTTGGGAGTTTGAGGTGCCCATTGAGTGAAGGAATGAACGACGCGCGGAATTCATTCCAACAGCTCCTCGCAAATTTTTTTTGTATGTGGGAGAGTCGAGTCCAGGCCTTGTTTGATTGATGAGTGGCTGGTTTCAGGTTTCGGATTTCATTCCCGGATCGACTTCCCGTTCGTCATTGTGATGTTGGTTGTTTGGTACTCCAGTCATCGCGGCGAGCCAGGAACTCACGATACTTTTTCCTGTCCCGCTTTGAACAACTTGATACGTGACGGCGGCAAACGATAACGTCCAGTCAGCACTAACCACCAACCATTCATCAGCCAACGAACTTTCGCCAAGAGAATCGAAAAAGATATTTTTTTTCGTGCAAACCTCGAGAACGGGAACAAAGGGGGCGAGAGGGGTTAAATAGTTCCAAACAAACTGCAGCAGACATGGCGCTTATACTTTCTTCCTCTTCACCACTCTCAGCGTTCAGCCGGTTGGTCCAACACCTCGTCAGCTTTTCTCTCACGGCATCCACTTGGCGGCTTCGCAAGCTCGCGCCATTTTCGGTTCGAAAAGGACACTTGAAACAATGGTTTATATAGTTCGCCCCATATATATTGTGCATTGCACGACGCGGTGAGAGAGCGGATGTCGTTCGGCATCGGTACCTGCGTCCGTCGTCAGCACGGTTTGTGGGAAATGTCCGGGAACGGGGAAATGTTATGTATGAATTTTGCGGAAGATTGCATTCCCAAGGCGCAATGCCAAGTCCACACAAAATGTTTTGAGTTGTGAGGGGCAGCGATTAAGAGGCGTAACGGCAAGGAAACCAGCCGCGGCGGGTGGGTGCCCTGAGTCAAACAAGTAACATGTTGGGTTATGGCTTGCGGATGGCGTCAACAATGAAGGAAAGTGGATCTGAAGGCGGGATTGGAGGCGGCAGGAGGCAGGAGGTGAGAGACAAACGCTCCGAGTTCAACGCTCCTTCCTTTCTTTGTGTGTTGTGTGGGCTATTCCTTCCCCCCTTCTCGTGCAGATAGATGGGAAAGGAAAGGGACGACCCAGATATAACAAAAACTCATCATGAGCCTCGTCCCCCTCCTTTGACGAGCTGAGCTCTGTGGGTTTTGTGAGCTTTGTGCCGTTTCATCCCTTCTCAAGTTGCTGGACAACTCGCTGGGTGATTCACTCCCTTTTTTCTTCTTCCCAAATGCCACACTCACGCTCATTATCAGAACAATCATGTCTCCTCCCCAATGCGGATTTCGGTCATGAAGATGGCGATAGATCCAGGCGTAGTCTTGTTCTACCATACAGTGAGCCACCTGCTTACCCGATCCAGATATTCTCTTCCTTTTACGCTCCCAATCACTAACCACCCCCATAGCATTTCCTTCCAAGCATGGAGTTCACTATCATCAGGACCCCGAAGGAGCCCTCCCTCCCACACCAGCGTTTGACGAAAATGAGTCCATTTCCTGGACCGACCTCCCCAGCAAAACCCAACTTCTCATTCTTTCTCTCTGCGGCCTCTCCTCACGACTATCCAACGTTCTCATACTCCCCTACCTCTTCCACCTCGTCCGCTCCGCCGTCTCCACATCCAGTACTCTCGATCTATCAACGGACAACGACGACTTCGTTGCCTACTACACCTCCATCCCTACCACAGCCCTGGCGTCGACTTATGCCGGTGTATTGGTGGCCGCTTTCCGCTGGCTCAACTACTTGTTCTTTTCTTCGCTGGGATAAACATGGCGGGAATCTCTCCATCGTTTGGAGCCTAGCCATCTCCGCGGTTGCAAGCCTGGCATTTGGGTTCAGTCGTTTGTTTTGGGCCTTGTTGCTTTGGAGGACGGTAGGCGGGTTAACGAGCGGGAGTGGTGAGATGGCGAGGAAGATGGCTGGTGAGATTTTTGGCGAGGAGAAGAGATACCAGGACAAGGCTTGCCAGGTGTTGTCTGCGGTAGGAAACGTGGGAGTGGTGATTGGGTTGGCAATGGGCGGGCTTTTGGCGGAGCCGGTAAAGACGATGCCGGGACTGTTTGGTGCAGAGGGGGCGTTGAATTGGAGTGGGAGTGAGGAGGGAGTGAAGTGGATGGTTGAATATCCATTTGCCTTACCGGCAGTCATGAATGCCATGTTGCTTGGGGTAATGGCCATGGCGGTTACGACACGGCTGAGAGAGACGATGCATGACCAAGACCACGTCGGAGATGGTACTGAGTGTCTCGCACAGAGACCTTACATCCTCTTGAACGACACCGAAAACCTCTTTTCCGACCGTTACCAAGAAAAGTCCCGAGCCAAAACACCTCTCCGCTCAGCCCTCACGGCCCGCACTATCCCCTCCTTAATCTCCTCCTTCCTCCTAACTCTCCACACCTCCGCCTTCGCCTTTATCCTCCCTCTTCACCTCTCTATCCCTTCCTCACCTTACAGTCCCTTCATGTCCAACTCCTCCCACTCTCTAGTTCCCGTTCTCTTCCGCTTCACCGGCGGACTTTCCCTCTCCCCCTTTACCATCTCTCTCTATCTCTCCCTTTTTGCGCTTCTCGGCCTTCTCTTCTTGGTGTTCATCTACCCGCGGTGGCAGAACCGGCTGAGCACCATGGGCTTGTTTGAGCTGTCGCTGGCTATCTTCCCTTTTGTCTATCTGTTGACTCCCTATTTGTCTCTGTTCTCCTGGAGCCACCAGGACACTGACAGCATAACGGGATGTGCCGGGATCATGAAGTGGATTGCTTTAGGGGTGGTGATAGGGGGGCAGACGTTGGCGATGACGATGGCGGGTCCTAGTGCTGAGGTGTTGCTTGCTCAGTCGGCGCCATCGGACGAAGTGCGGGAAAGGGTGAAGGAGGTAAGACAGTTGGTGACGAGTTTTGCGAGCGTGGTGGGACCGGTTGTTGGAGGGGTGGTGTACGCGAAGGGGCTGAGGGACGGGGTGATCGGTACTGCGTGGTGGTTTTACCTCGTTGTCGTGGCGGTGGTGGCTGCGGCGTGGTGCGTGGGTGCTCAGGGGAGAGTATATGAAGAGCCCATGGATGATGAGAAGAAGTAGATGTGGGTGGTTTTGGATATGTGAAGACAATGGATGGGCGTTAATGCTTGGGATTCTGTTCGCTTCTGACCTTCGAATTAGTACGGCTACTTGTATGATGTATGATGTATGACTAGAACTAAGACCGTACGACTTGATGAGATTGTGTCTATGATATTGTATTTTCACGCACCTATGCATCCCTCCGAGCATGCTGTTCCGCTAAACCAAGTTCTCTGCCACTCCCTCTCACAGCTATACAGCTAGACTCGGGCTCTTACTTCCGGTTCTTGATCCTCTCCTCATGAGCAGCTATCACGCCATCATCGGGAACCTGACCCTTATCCTCAGGCCGCCTAGTGTTCACGTAGCCCTCCCCTGGGCTGGCCCAGGCGAAATCGATCCAACCGCCCAATGCTGGCCACATCTCGTCCTCCACCAACTTCAAGACCTTCTCCTGACGCTCGGATCCGTATGCGCGTCTCTCCTTCTTCTCAACAGTGGCCAGCTTCTCCAGTCCTTCCAACACGCCATTCCACTCCGCAACCGTCTCCTCCAGCTCGGGAATCGACGAGACACCGCACACCGTCGGCCCCACCTTCAACGAAGACCCGGGACCAGCATCAACACCAACCCCAGCCTCCGCGCCAACTCTCGCCCACTCCTCCAACGCCCAGCGGATGGCCACACTCTCCAACCTCTCCCCCTTAGCCGCCGCCAACTCGCCCAGCTTCTTGCACGCAATCCTCAGCTCCGGCGGCGACGGATGCCACTTAACCAAGGGACTCTCCTTCGATTCCGGATTCGGCGGGATTCCCTTCTGCGTCAACAGCCCCATGCCCAACATGGACGCATTGAGAATAACCTCCACCCCCGCCTTCTTGAACCTCTTCAACACACTTTCCTCCTCCTTCTCCTTGCTCTCCCTCCTTCCAAGTAACTCATCCACCGCCAACAACCGATTCTGCACCGTAAAATGCCCATAACTCAACACGGCATCCAACGGCTCGCCCGTTTCCTTCAGGATCATCTCCGCCAGCTCCGCCAGCACTTTCACCGGAAAGCCACTTATCCCTACATGCTTGACCACGCCTTCCTCATCCCGCAACCGCCGCAATTCTTTGACGGCAGCCAGCACTTCCTGCGCGGAAACGAACTCGACGTCGTGCATGTACACCAAGTCCAGGTACTGCGTGTGTAACCGCTGCAAAGAGCGGTAGATGCTGTAGCGCACCCACGCGGGCGAGTAATCGAACTCGTCGCCGGCTATGCGGCCTGCTTTGGTGACGATGAACACGTCGGAGCGAGGGAGTGGGTGGGTTGGCGAGGTGAAGAGGGCGTTGAGGGCGTCGCCTAGCAGGATTTCGGAAGGGCCGTAGTAGGGCGAGGTGTCGAAGCCGCGGACGCCGAGGGAGATGGCGCGCGCGACGATGGAGCGGTAGGGGAGGGCGTGAGGGTCGGGGACGTATTGCGTGTTGAAAGTTGCGGTGCCGAGGAGGAGAGGGGGGAGGGTTGATTTGAGGGCGGCGGCGGCGGCCTTTGAGGCGGCGGGTGGGGAGGGGGTCATGGTTGTGGTGTTATGAGCTGAGGTGAGGAGCCGTCTGTGAGATGCTGTGAGGGTGAACAGACAGCTTCTGTTTTCTTTTCTGGTTGATTATGAAGTTGATGAGCTCTTGAGATAAAAGTCAAGTGAAGCTGAGGAACTGTAATGAGAAAGTTGTCAGTTGGTGAAGAGAGGGGGGGGCTTTCAGACACTTTTAATGCGGGTCTCTAAGAGCTGTCGTGATGGGGAAGTGGGGTTTCCATAGCTCGTGAAACCTCCACAATTGGTGATGCGCGAGGATCCCGATGGGGCATCTGAATAGCTTCACATCGTTCTAGCCCCCTTTGGCCTGGTGGACGGGTCTGGAACTACGATCCCCAGGTTCTTTGAAGTGACAGAGGCGGCTCTGAGATATTGGAATCGGATAAAGTACTGAATCTATCTCAATAATGGAAAGTTTCAAGCCTTTCATGGGAACCAAGAAGAACCTCCAACCTTGCTTGATAAACGCTGAAATTGGAGAATCCTTGGCTCTCACGGCCCTGGAGAATTGGCGCCAGTGCGGAGGAGCGTCCGCTGTTGGAGATACCCCGCCCTCGGTGCAAGACACGCCGTTTGGTGGGATTTTGGGCAGTGGGCACGGACCAGGTACACTCTGATTTGTGGTCGCGGTTTCGAGCGGACGAGCATTTTCTCCCTTCTTCACTTCGATTAAGTTGGACATTCTTAACGCCTTTTAGACGGGAAACTCTCTCAGGATAACATTTTGCCAGTGAAAAGCTCGACATTATATATCTCTACGTCCCATCCTCCAAGATGCAGACGTCTTGACGGAGTGTCCCCTCTCCCTCCATGCTTTCTCCGACTTGGCTTCGCTTCAACATCACCATGATGAGAAATTAGAGCGACCATCACAACACAACTGGCACTCGTGCCTTTTTGGTCCAAAAAGAGCCCTTTCCACCTACCTCCATCTTCTAGGGAGGAGCTCACCACTTATACACCAGACCTGAAGCAACGCCAAGATGGCAAAAGCAGCAACCCCTTGCATCCCGCCTTCACATCTTCCTAACTCGGGCTATAATCTGGACCACCTCATATATCGGAAGCTTCTTCAAGAAAACCACACTGATTAGCCTAAACCAAACGAAGATCCTCATACGGCCATATCAGTTCCCTCTTCTCCCGTCTCTCGTGGCTCTGGCTCAATTGCTCCGAAAAGCATTGCTCAACGACCCAACCAAACGAGATTGAAAGGTCCTTCGTCAATCGTCCCGTCTCTGGCTATTTACATCCAAATTCGAAATTCATCTATATCCCACGGCATATTCATATATATCCTGGGCATAACCACTTTATCCCTTTCCAATCACCACCGGCGCACTACCTAACCAGTTGCTAAGCAAGACGTCATTCTCTCGCGTTGACGATGTGTTGACTTCCTTTTTAACAGCTTTCAAGTGAAAATGGCCTCAAGTGTGAGCTATGATTGTTCGAGCGTAGGAATTGAGACAAGACAATCACACAAGTTATTACAAAACCGGGTCACGCAGGCTATATATCATGCCGAGCATGTTGATGTCAGTCACGTCACGTTGCAAACTTCTCAACCATTTACCTGGAACCAACCGCACATGCGTCGATCCCACCGTCTCAACCGTCTAAACTGAAGTAGCCTCCAAGTCTGGATCGGCTCCTCCCTTCATATCCCGCCTCAGCCTCGACGGGCTAGATGTCCGGTCACAGGTCCATGCTGGAGTAGCAGCTCCAAGCCGGGTTTGTTGTCTTGGTAGCATGAGAAAATTATTCGAATCATGCGGTCTTGCCCTTTATGTCCACGGGGAACGATCCTCCAGGGCTCCAGAGCACTTCTTAGCCTGGTGTTTATGATGTTGTCTCTCGACCGTTGGCTGGCCTCTCGAGGCTCACTACTTATAAAACTCGTGTGGTCTTTTGGTTCCCGCGTCTCTGTTCACCCCATAATTACTATCCTCTCTCTGCATTTATTCTGGTTGAGCTAGTACGTACGGAATAGAGACTCTCTAAGATGCATCTTCCACGACTCGCAACAGGCCTAGCTGGTCTCTTAGGAATTAGCAAGCCAGCTCTCAGTAGGTTACATTCATCCCTTCATCTCCAAAACCCCTACCTAGGCACCTTAAACATGTCTAACCATTTGCTTCAACAGCCCCCAGACAATTCGAACCAGACTCCAGCGTCTACATCGATGCCGAAACCGGCCTGACCTTTGCCTCCTACACCAGCGACCGCAGCATCATCTTCCGCGTCGCCATCCCCGACGTCATCCCCGCCGACTTGGTTTATGACACCGTCCTCCAGATCGTCGCTCCTATCACCGTCGGCTGGGCCGGGTTCGCCTGGGGAGGACACATGACGTATAACCCGCTTGGTATCGCGTGGGCAAACGGTAAAGAGGTTGTGCTTTCGCCGAGGATTGCTTAGTACGTTTTTTTTCTCTCTTTTTCTCCCGTCCCCTTGACCTCCTCCTCCTCCTCCTCCTCCCCATTTTCCTCTTTTCTTTTCCCCTATCCCTCTGTCATCACTAACACCCCCTCTTCATTAAAAAGCGGCTACTACTCCCCACCCACTTACACCTCCAGTCACTACACCCTCCTAAAAACCGGCACCCACGTCAACGCCACACATTTCCAAGTAACCGCCAAATGCACCGGTTGCTCCTCCTGGGGCGACGAGTCTATCGGGTTCAGCAATATCGACCCGGAGTACCAGACCACGCTTGCCTACGCGTACGGAGACGCAAAAGTCGATACCCCAGCGGATGTGCAGTCGACTTTTGGGATTCACGATAGTTTGGGACATCCGATTTACGATCTGGCGGTGGCGAAGAATAAGGATTTTGCGAAGAAGGTGGCTGCGCTTGTTGAGGGGAAGCCCGCGAGTGGGGGTGGGAGTGGGGAGGATGAGGTTTGTAAGGAGGAGTGAAGGGGGTGAAAGGGGTGTTGATGAGAGGGGATGATGAAAGGGGGTAGTGCATGGTTGATGATTATGGTTATGTGCTGTGGGAATTGGCGTTGTTGGCATTTGAAAGGCTGAGGAGGTGGAGGTGGAGATGGAGAGGGCATAAATACATATATATACGTTGCCCGCACTACTGGTGATTGTGTTGTGTTATATACGAGAGAAAAAAAAAGGCAATGAAGTGAAGCGCTAACTAGCGATTCAGCTGTATGGTCTGTGTTTGTGATATGGTGAGAAATTCCGATTTACCTACTGTACTCCCAACTATCTCGAGAACGCAATTCTCCATTCTCTCCGTCCACAAGATTCCTTCCTTCCGAATTCTAGCAGGAGACGAAAAAAATTAAACAGAGCAATTTCACGCCGGGTTGTCAAAACGCAAAATGTAGACTCCAGACTCCCAACTCGTTCGTCAATGAACAGTACAAACCCATGAAACCCCCCTTTCATTCCATTCCATTCCCGTTTCTCGATCGATCGGTGCTGACTCCTAGTTTAAAAAAAGAGAAGAAGAAAAGGACCGCGAATGGACAGCGTAATGTGATGGCAACAGTGACCAAGGAAGGAAGAATATGGTCCAAGAAAGGTAATGGTAGTACTGGTAGGCAGGTGGTGGTTGGATATACAAAATAAATCGGCTTGTCCTCCTAAATGGTCCCTTCTCCCTCCTTCCCTGACACATGATACACACGAAACGAATCGAATCGACGGTGGTGGTATTTGGTAACAGTGTTGCCCCCCTGTTCTTGTTCGCCCAACAAACAATCTTCCTTCCTTCCCCTTTCCCGTCCTTCTCCTCAGCTCAACCAATTGAAACCACTCTTTCCCTGATTTCCTCCTGCTCCTACACCAAGAGCTTATCTTATCGGCTCTTGCGATTTATACTGTTTCTCTATGACCATCTGTGCCTTTCCTAGCCTGTGTTGTGGGGGTATCTGCTCCCAGTTCCTGTGTAATGTTTTGTTTTCTGTTGCTCCTCTTGTTCTCGCTGTCGGCATCCAATATCACTGCGTGACCTGTCTCGCATGCTCCACAGTGGTCTCGTTGCCGACATGCTTCGAGTCGCTGGTAGTACCGACGTCTTCGACCGATGTCGCTGGTGAATCGAGCGTGATGGTGAATCGCGGCGGCTGCGAGTGCATCTCCGAATCCTGCTCCGAGAGACCGGTGGTCTGTGACTCGAAGACATGCTCCACATGCTCGCCGGCACCTTCACCCGACTTTTTCGAGTCATCTTGTCCCTCGGTCGCCTGCCCGTCAGCATTGATTTGACTGAGCCGCTTGCCAGCGTGCTCGCCCTCGATGCTCACGTCTACTACCTCGGCCAAACTACGGAAGTTGAACAAGGGCTCCGTGCTGGTGCTTGGGTCCCTGTCCTGCTCGTCGCCGTCTTCACTGACTGCACAACGGCCACCTAGACTGAGACCACTCGCATGGGGATCCTGGAGGTTGGAGGGCGGCACATAACTGCCCTGGTTACTTTCTGCCGCAGACGAAGAGACCGACGAGGCGCTGCTCATCTGGCGCAAATGCGACGGTCCGGGAGTCGGTTGGGGAGACGGATTGGGGCGGGAGGGAGCAGAAGCGTCGTTCGCCGCGCCCGCACTTCTATCAACGCCCTTACCCTTATCCTTGGTGTTCGAATCTGGGCCTAGCGCCCCAGGAGCTGCAGTCGACGACATGGCGGCGCCCGTAGATGCCATAGCACTGGCTACGCTGGCTTCGACTCGGAGGTTGCTGGCAGCACTATTTCCACGCTTCCTACCGAAACTCAGCCCAGGTAGACTCAGGCTACTTCCACTGGCCGAGCTGTGTCCACTGCGGGTTGCCTCATAAGGTCCGCCCTGTTTCGCTGCGGCTTTGGCTGCTGCCTTCTCTGCCTTTTTCTCTGCCTTCTCCCGTTCCTTTTCGCGTTTCTTTGCCTCCTTCTGTTCCTCCTTTTCGGCCTTCTTCTTGCGCTCCTCCTCTGCAGCCAAAGACAATCGAATGGCTTCCGCGAACATCATCTCTTCGAGATCTTCCAATCTGCTTCGTCGGTTTCCGTTACCGCCAGGACCGGCAGCGCGATCTGTATTGGTTGTAGTACCAGCAGTAGCAGGAGCAGCTGGGCTGGTACCCCTGTTCTCATCGCCGTTACCAGGAGTAGCCGATGCTGACCCAGAGCCTCCGGTATTTCTACGCCCGAAGCGGCTCCTAAGCGCGCGGGACTCGTTGTTGTTCATCATGAATGCTGCTGTGTGCAAAGCTGTCGCAGCAGCAGCGCGTCTCGCCAGGTGCGCCCGTGCGGCCTGCAGCTTGTTTGCCCATTCTGGCCGGACTCTATCCGTCAGAACGACATTCGGTGCGTTGGCGGATATTGACTGGTTACGACGACGGCCACCTGGTAAAGTAACACCGGGGGACAGAGATCCAGAGTTGACCGAACTTTCGGATGACATGGCTGCGCTTGTGCTTCCCAGGGCTAGGGGTGAAATTCCATAGGTCAGACCGCGACGGAATGGCGGCGGCTCGTAAGTAACGCCAAAATCGGGTTGCGTGCAGTAGGGGCAGCAGGCAGGCTCGGATACCAAGAGTCCGGCGGACTCCTCGGGGTTGTTATTCGGGTCGTTCTCGTTGTGTCCTTCTGGGAAATGCGGATCCGGCCGCTTGATCTGGACGAAGCATTCGCTGCAAATGGGCTGGTCGCAGCAACGGGTGTGGTTCAGGTATGGCGGGTATGTCAAGAAGCAGATCGGGCATTCGGTAGCGTTCTTGTAGAGGAAGACTTCGAGAGGTTGTCCGTTGACAAAAGGGTCGTTGGGCAGCATGATTTCGCGGGGCACGATTTCCGTACTCGAGGCATTGCGGGAACTTCCTCCTCCCAAGACCGCAGCAATAGCCTTTCCCCGTGTGGGCTTGAAAGGAGAACTGCTCCCTTTGCCGGAACCGGGAGAGGGCAGCGCAGAACCCGGATTGGATGCGCTATGCTCGGAAGTTGTCGACAGGCTGCGACCGTCCATCGGCACTGTCAAGTGGTTGATATTCGAATTCGCGTCGGTCGGTGAGGCAGGTGAGCGCGGTCGTGGAATCAGTTCATCCGAGGGAGTTTCGCCGGCGGCGGGAATAGGCAGGCCTCGTGCGGCAGCGATGATTTGGGACTCGGTCCAGTCCCCGTCGACATCGTTTAGTCCTCGCCAGAAGGGAGCAAGTTTACGCTCAATCTAGAAGGATGGTACGAGTTAGCATTGCTCGGATAGGAGCTGTTCGTCCCAGGGCTTTGAGCACACGTACCATCAACTGCCTGACGATCTGTTTGTTAAAGTCCTCAGGCCCGACGTAGGTGCCCATGGTGACGAGATAACCACCATCGACATGCTCCTCCTTCATGCTCCGCTCTCGCTCCTGTAGCCGGGCAACCCGCTCCTTTTCCAGCCTCCTGGCCTCCCTTTCCTGTTTCGTCTCCTTGCGTTCATGGCGCTCGTCGGCATGCGAGCTCGAACCTCCTGCAGCGCGCCCCAAAAGCCCGGTGAGATCGTGTCTGGTATTGCGGTTCCTCCTAGATGACTCTCTGCCAGACTGTGTCGACGAGCCTGCACCGGCGTCGGCGAGGGCGGAGTGGAGGCCACGGCGGCCGCTGTCATCGCCGCGGGACTCCTTTGTGTTTGCGTTTCCCATGGTGGTATTGGCGACTGGCGCTGATGTGACCCGCCGGGGGCCGATGAGAGATGCGAAGCAGGATGGCGCGAGATGACGGGACTGTTGTTGGGTTTGTCGTTGTTGTCTTGTCGAAAGAGGTGGTACGTTCGTAAGGGTATCCGGCTGGCGGGGGCGCTAATCAGAATGACGGAGCAGATCAAAAGCCAAGCCTGCCAGCAGCAGCAGCCGCGTGTAGTGGGTGCGCTAGGTGGATGCTCCCGTCTGCTCGGTTGCCAAATGTCAACAAGCTTCAGTGCGCGGGGCGGACCGGGTACGGTGGCAGGGTGGAGAGGAGGCCACACGAAGGTAGGGTCGGCAAGAGGATAGACAGTTTAGGGTTGAGGTATCGGGATGCGATGGCAGGGCTACAGTATGGGGAAAGACGGGTTCGAAGCAGTCGAGAGAGTTCGGGGTCCAAAGTGATATTTTTCGCACTCCGCAATTGATGGGATGTAAAAAGAGGCAGAAAGCAGGGCCAAGCAAGGCACGGTGACGAACGGAGGGCCGTCGTTGCCGGAGATGGCGGAGCTGTCGGTGCGTTTAGATCCAATGGGGTTGTGCTACAGCACGCGCGCTCATCCTGGCGGCGTCCAACGAGAACTTGGTGTCAGTCGCCCTGGAGCGGGCAGAGAAACCGACTCTGATCTGGGAAGGGGTGCAGATGGAGCGATCTCCGGTAGAGGGTCCAACCGATTCGAGGTCCGATGCGAGGTTCCAATCGGGGGAGGGGGTTTTCGGATGCTTGTTGTGTGGGAGCAGGTTGGAACCTGATGCCGATGGCCACCTAAGAGGCAGATGTCAATGACAATCAATGACAATGACAAGGTGACAACGAAGAGACCGGGCCAGCGCGGTCGCTTTGTTGCTTGTTGCTCGTTCGGATAACAGTTGAGCTGTGTAAGCGTACAGCGAGGGTATCACGCAAACCACCTGCTGACAACAAAACAGTGAAATGGAACCTGAGCCGAATGACGAGAAGACAGAATGGACAAAAAGTTTGCCTGGAGGAATTCAAGCCTGGGTTTGCTTGCTTTGCTTTGCTTGAATCTCGGAATGCGGGAATCGTTCAACTGCGAAACTGGGAAGTGGGAGTGCCAAGTGCCAAGAGAAAGTCCACCTGCACACAACTTGACACCACCTCACTGAATGCACACACTGCCACGCGCCCACGCCCGCCGCTTCAACCGCCCTGCCAAATTCCGTGCAGATTGAGGTTGGGGTTTGGGGTCTGGGTCTCAACGTCCGGAGTGAGGGTTACGTATGTATGCACGGCATAAAAGATTGCCTGCCGCCGGTGAGGGAAACCCTTGATCTGGAAACGTTATCACTGCCGTCATTTCCTTTGCAGATCCTCAATCCCTCAGACATCACAGTCATGCATTTCCCTTTAATCTTCACGTTCATGTGGCAAGCAATCAACCCCTCAATGTTGCTCCAGATTGCTGTTGTGTTATTCCGGCTCCGGGTGGAAAGAGCCAGACGCTATTTTGGTAGCCATTCGACGCAGAATCTGTTAAAGCACTGACGGGAACGCACCTATCCCCACGGATAAACGATTGCCGACTAACAGGGCTCGCGAGTCGCAACTACACCAACTTCTATCGTCAAGGAAGATCATCCTAAAGCGGACACTCTCCTCTCGCCCACGCTCTACCTCTGAAATCCAATAATCGCTTGTACAATGTCCCTATAGATGGTTCATTCTGTCAATTCCCCAGCAATGGACGTCGTGTGACGAGAAACGGCTAGCTGGACCGTTCACTTACGCTAGACCAGTCTTCGTCACCAAACCATAACGACTGGAGCTTATCACAGGATTTAGGAGTGGATATGGTCTAATGGTTATCTGAGCAGATGTCCGTCTTCCTGATGGTACTGATACATTGACAGCATAGCCGCGAGTGAAAACTTGCCCGAGCCAGGCCTCATCCCACATGAGAATGATGAGATACCGCACCGTTTGACAGATCCTTGTTGATCGTCTTGTTTCTCAAGGAATTGACGGTTTCTTGGTAGTACCTTATCCACGGTAGGCGAGCTCACGATTAAGGACTTACGCGTCAGCTTGTTTTTTGGGTCCAGCTCGGGAAGTTGTTCGCAAGGCGAACTTGCAGACGTTGTCTGTGTCACCAACATAACAGAACAATGAGGCCGAGGTAGTCAACAACTACCTCGGTATGATGATACCGGCCTTGAAGGAAACAAGTTAACCGATAGTATAAAACCCATGCGCCCTGTTCAGCACATGTAAGTCAGTCATCCTCATGCAGGTCTTCTCGTATACCCCAGTTGACGATCAAAGTTCATGCCCACATTTTTCATCGACATGTAACTCAGACATATACATGATATGGGTGACTAGGAGAGCATAACGTCGAGCTTTGATTCTAAATGTTAGGTCACTTGAAGATAGGTGTGTGGCCAAGTCAAAGTCTCTAGCTTACCCTTCCACACAGATGACTACAGAGTCAATTGGCTTTATATGCTCTTCTTGCTCACAAGAATGATAGAGCGGGTATAAAAAGAACAGGCATACGGACTTATAGGGGATAGCGACCAGGTAGGTGTGTGATTGAAGTTTACAGTAGCGAGAAGCATCTGATCCGATCTGAGAGAGCCGCATTCTCGGTGTTGTGGTTCTTATGTGCTACTACCTAGTACTTTCAACACCATTCTCAAAACAACAGCAGTAATGTTCCCCAGGGGACTATTTACTACAATGAACGAAATACCAGTTCAGACGCCCTTCACAGCTCTTCACTTTTTACCTTTACTTCCTCGTCAACTATTTCATCCTCCCTGATGTCTCGTTGTTGTTGAGCTTTGAAATTGCGCCACCAACCCTTTTTAATCCCGCAGCTACACGGTTGACATCTCCCGAAACAAAATAGCAAATGCACCGGCTTTTACATACTCGCTGCTGATGCTGCCGCAGCTTTTACATTATCACTTCCTGCAGAACGTTGGGATCGACTCAGAAAAACATGTACGGCACTTAGAAGCACGTTCGCTAACCTGCGGTAGTCTACCCGTTCGTGAGGTTGGCAGATCTCTTGTCTGTTCCCCAAGTCAGCCTTACCAAACGGTAGTACCTAAGTCATAAATCAGACATCACCTCGCCTTGCCGATCTCCAGAGTTCTCTTTAGATTGGAAAGGTTCTCTAGAGCCGCCATATCATCGAGTTTTCTTCTCTGGTGGTTAGTTAGTAGATCTAATAGCAACAAGGAGACATGATTCTGATCGAGGCCACCTCCTCTCCGGTTTTCCAGCCTCCAAAGGAAAGAAGCGCCAGTCGCATTACAGAGCCCTCAATCGATTTCGATTTAAGAAAACTCAGATTGTGTGTACAGAAAACTGAAGCTTCTGTTCCTTGTGTTTGTTTTGCTTCCATGCGCAGTGCGACGTGTGATGCACCCACACCACCATCATGTAGGATGACGTCCTTCAAATCGTCTGGTGTACCGTACATGCTACATACAGACAGCACGCATGTGAGAGGTATTGACGGCTATATGTATGATACATATGGGATCTTCGGACCGAGCCGTTGTTGGTACGAAATAGGTATGTAAATTATAGAGAACAATGAGGTTAGACAGGCGATATCAACTTTGATATCTACCGCGTGGGATAAGTGAAGTTTATATGAATCTGATGCTGATGATGATGATGAGCTTCCACTTGTGCCCATCCGTCGGGAAGCCGTTCGCAACCCAGGAATGTCGAATTGGGATTTGTTGAGATGGGTTACGATTCGGCGAACTGGTGTTTTGCTGACACATGAAAACTTTCAATGTCGAGAATCATGATGGGCCGGACAAATTGACGCTACAAGTCCTACACTAGTGTAGGTGCACACACTACTGTCAAAGCATCTCGGAGATAGGTTGTCAAGATCTCATCAAACCGTCCGTCCGTCCTGATCAGCAAACATACGCATTTGTAAAACGTGGCATTCGACTCGGGTTCCAGGCCCGCGGTGTAATCTATCCGCGTCCGTATTCTCGAATCTGGGGCCATGTTTCAATTTGATTTTGAAACCATCGAGATTCGTACTCTTACTTGCCTGGGCCAAACTGTTTTCGCTAGAAATTGAGGTTTTTCGTTTCCATTCTGGAATCGCTTTGGGCGGGAGTCAAGATCGCCAAATATGGCCGATTCGATGGACGAAAAGGGAAATGTGAGCCACAAGAGCGACAACATGTGGATTTTGTTCTGAGTGCGAAAACGGGGTGGAATTCTTGCTCGGTTTCGGTATCGTATTCGCTTTGTGAGTCCTGGATGGTCCCTGATAGGCTAATGAAGAGTCTGGACGGCCGGCAGGGATGATGGGACAAGTTAAAAGTTGTGGGGGATTAGGTGGAGGCGACAAGCTGATCATCGACGCACTGTGGATTTTGAAGATTTCGGAGTTGGCTGATGGAGATGGAGACTGTTGCCGCTGGATGATAAATCAGGGAGAGTCGGTGACATATACGCGTAAACTAGAGAACGGGACATGAGTCGATAAGCTTTCAGTTGAGATGATCTTCAACGTTCGGGAAAGGTTAGGGTCCGCGCAAGAGTCCGCCAGCCCGAGAACGTCAATGACCGTGCGAAACTCCAGAGGCTCCGTTACACTTGTGACGCCAAGAGCTATGCAGAAGTGGAAACTGGGGAACTCGACCATCACGGCGCGTCCGCCAATTTGCGGTGCACCGGGAGATAAAACAACGGTCAGAGAAGTTTATTCAGAGTTTGAAAGACGAGCAGGCCTTGCCAGAGTGTCGGGATATTACGCCTTTCCGTCCGCGGATGTCTCCCCGCCAAGATGTAACGGTGAGTCCAGACAGCATTGAGCGGGATCCTGGTTTACGGAAGGGCAGTGCCAGTCTGCTAGATGCCAGATGCCGGATCTCTCATGTTGCAGACGGGCAGCGACAGGGCAAGGGCAGGCGGAAGGAAGGTTTGCGGATGTTCTTTTTGATCGTTCCATCCATTTTGACGGTTTGTCGGAGCCTTGTGGGTCACTCGCCCGCCTGGGCTCTTTTGCTCTGGGCCTGTCACTGTCATCCATTCAACGTCTGGTGCTTGTTGATGAATACGGAAGAAGATTGGAGCCTGTCAGATATTCCTGCGGTTTTGCGGTCAAGTTCCCGCGGTGAGCGTCGCTATTCGACCGGTGGGCGGAAATGGCGGCGGCTGTTGCTTGTGACTGCGGTAGATTGAAAGATGTTGCGGGTTGCGGGCTATCGGAGTGGTAAAAGAACCCGAAGAGATTTGAGATGAAAAAAGTGTCTTTGTGGGAGCAAGGATTGCCATTGCTGGGTGTGGATTGTCCAGCACGTGGGGGATCCAGCGAACATCCAGCGAAGCGGACTGCGGCACACTGGCGGGGGACTTGTTTGAATTGTTTGGCCTTTCCAGGCTCCAGGTTTTCTTCCAGGCCTTTCTGTTCGTCCTCCCGTCTCCAACGCACAACCCCTCAATGATTCGATTCTTTTTCGGATAGCCCTTGATCCGATCCAACATCTGGACGCTGGAAGGGCGCAGCCAGGACGGTGAGAAGCCCGAGAGCATCCATGTTCCAGATAACTGTTGGTGCCAAGTGGTGGGCGTCCTGACTACCTGATTGGCCCGAATGAACCATCAGGCCAACCGCCAAGAGCTCCGGTAATCAAATGCAGCGAGCCCAGAGCAACAGCCTCGAACCCGGCTTTCCAGCACCAGGACAGCGGACGCCAGGGAGGTCGTAAATGGTACGCGTATAGCGACACCACTGGCTCACCTCTGAAGGGACAAGATGGGAGAAGGCCGAGCTATATGATTTCTCGGCTGTCACCCTATGGACGCGCTTAGAAGCGTCTCTGCGGCATTGAGGGCTGTGGAGACTGGAGAACGAGCAAGCCACTTACAAGGGCGCAAACATTCCGAATTCGGATTCTTGGGATACCTATCACCCCAACACCCGCCCCAACAACATTGGTTGCAATATCGTTGACAAGTTATGATATCTCGGGGATTAGCAAGTCCCCTCACCCAGTTACACCGATTCTGAGGCGGTGCGGCGCAAGGAATCGGAGCGAAACGGGGCTCGGAGCGAAACGGCACAGGTAGACGGCCTCGCCAAAGACCCCGAGATCTCTTTGACGGGAGTGGTTGAATGATTTTCAGAATGAATCATCATCCGTCATCATCGAATCGCCAAGCCTGCCCCTCACAGCCACGGCGAGCAACAAGATCAACGGCAGTGTACATTTACCGTGGCTGAAGCAGTGACGGCGCTTTGTTGCTTGCCTGGGATTTCTGTAAGTGATGCTTTGTCTGGTCTGGCCACCGAAACGTCAGAACGTGTTTGACAATCTGGGGTTCGTCCAAAACTGGTGGAATGGACGTTGGAGAATGATCTCGACGGGCTACGTAAGGGTTCTGAAGATCACCAACAAGGATTGGCAAAGTAGCAAAGGTTGAAATCGAAAGATAACTACGAGACAAAAAACGATGATGCTCGGGTACAGCTTGTCGATATCAGAGGTACCTGTAAACAAAGTGCAACACAACTTACCGGTACCTATCCAAACCATCGTGCCCGCACCCTTCTTGCTTCCCGACTTTCAGCCCTGACATGCCTTGACATGCAACTGATACCAAATTCCATTTGCCATGTTGTTCCTAGCTTTGGCTGGCCTCATCTACTGTCTTTTGAGGTGCCCCGCGATAGCACAGGGGCATTCGCAACCCTAAAGTCCCACTGCTACCATGAAGGCCCGCTTACCTAAAACTACTAGGTATAGTAAAGCTACCCTAAAGTCTTCCAGCCAACCTCTAGAACAACTGGGTCTAACGCCCTGGGCCGGAGTAAGAGACCGCTCAGGTATCGCTAACATTGCCAACTCCGTTAGTAGTGTAGGGTAGGGTAGAGGTACCTTACCTGATGCTATGCGCGCAATGCCTCAATGAGCGGTGCTACCTAAGTACTAGTTAGTGTAGATGTACCTCCCCTAGTTCTAGTCATCAGAACAACGTCAGCAATGGCAACTTGAGCCACCTTTGCTGCTGTTGCGACACCATATCTGCAGATTCACTTGCAGACCTTCCACTTCGCCTGGGAACAAAAGTCATTGATGGCTTCTCATGAACCACCCAGCTGGCTGAGCCTCTGATAAAATGAAATGATAGCCAAGAATGACGAACGAAGAGGGGGAAATATCCCATTGGCCACCCTGCCGTATACGGATCGGAGCCCTCTGATTGACGACGGGAGCGAACGGGCTCAACGGGGGTCGCTGTCATTTTCGTCCACTTCTCCAGATGTCAAACCCAAATTCCCAATGCGAAAAAGGTACGGAGCACTTGTACCGGGTACGTACCGGCGGTTACAGTGCGTCGCCAAAGTGGAGGTACCCAAGACTCCCGGACGGGGAAGGCTCGTCTCCAACAAGGAGTGGCCGGCTCCACTCTTCAGAGTCTCGGAGCCTGCGAGGACCCCGTCCCCCTTTCCTTTCCAAAGGCTTTTCGCACAAACTCTTGGTCCTATCGTCTTTTATAGTCCCCGCGGCCCGGCGACATTTTGGCCTGTTGCCTCTGATCTCTGGACCTGATAGATCTCGGACTCTTGTTTCTCGCCAGCAGATCCTCTCATCCAACCCCAACCCCAGGTGTCCGTGTCCTCCCTTTTCTCGGTCTTGAGGTTCCGTCCGATTTGTACGGAGTACGTACTGTTTCTGTCGCTACTTATACAGCAATAGAGAACAGCGCTTACCTCAGCCTAACCCTCCACTCGCTTTTCACACACTCACCACCCACCTTCCAAGCACTTCCTTCTTTTTCTCTTTCTGGTTTAGTCCAACAATTGCGACTTTCTTGCTTGCATACATATAATATCTAGACTCCCCTTCTGCTTTTTTTTTGTAAGTCCCTTTTCACTTTCAGTCTCAACTCTCTTCGGACGAATTCCCCCCACACCACTCCACCCTATACATACCCCGACATACATCGTTATAAGGCACGAACCGACACTTACACCAAGATCCTCGGGGTTAGGGCAGAATCTTAATAGCATCTCATCATCGACTTATACCGAATTTTAATTGGAGCAAGACTTTCGGACTCAAAGAAATCACCACACATGTCCTTTATAGGCACTGGTTCCTTTGGGAACTACGACCACACAGCCCAGTCTTCTGGAGCACCTCTTGGACGCCGACAGACACACGACTTTGAGGAGGAGACTGTCGCCGCCAACCCTGCCGGACCTACTCACCCTGAGCCGAGTTCTTCACATTCTCACAACGACCAAATGACGGGAACACGGGCCACTTCCATGACCGAGGTTGACGAGAACACCACTCGTCCTGTGAAGGAGAAGGACGGCCAGCATGCCAATGACGACAGCGACAGCACCACCGAGGACGATGAGGACCGTATCGAGGAGAACCGCCGCGCAAGCCAAGTCCTCGCCCTGGCACGAAAGTACACCTCGCAGTCCCATGCCGCCGTTCCCGATGGAAAGACTGTCTTCCAGGTCGACGACGACAACTCACCACTCAACCCCAATGGTCCCAAATTCAACTCTCGTGCTTGGGCCAAGGCCATCGTTGAGCAGGTCAATGGCGAGGGTCACCAGTTCCGCACCACCGGTGTCGCTTTCCAGAACTTGAACGTTTTCGGTTTCGGCTCTGCCACGGATTACCAGAAGGATGTTCTCAATGTCGGTCTCGAAGTCATCGGCCAGGTCCGCAACCTCATTGGCATGAGCCGGCAGCGCCGCATCGACATTCTCCGCGACTTCGATGGTGTTGTGCGCAAGGGTGAGATGTTGGTTGTTTTGGGTCCTCCTGGTTCCGGCTGCACAACCTTCCTCAAGACCATTGCCGGCGAGCACGATGGTATCTTCATTGACGACCAGTCTTACTTCAACTATCAGGGTATGACCGCCAAGGAAATCCACTCGCACCACCGTGGTGAGGCCATCTACTCTGCTGAAGTCGATACCCATTTCCCCCAGTTGACAGTGGGTGACACTTTGACCTTCGCGGCTCGCGCCCGCGCTCCTCGTCACATCCCCGACGGCATCAACAAGACCATGTTCTCCAACCATCTCCGAGATGTCGTCATGGCCATGTTTGGCATCAGCCACACCGTCAACACTCGTGTTGGTAACGAGTATATCCGTGGTGTTTCGGGTGGTGAGAGAAAGCGTGTTTCCATTGCCGAGGCCGCTCTCTCTGGCGCTCCCCTCCAGTGCTGGGATAATAGTACCAGAGGTCTCGACAGTGCCAACGCCATTGAGTTCGTCAAGACCCTTCGGTTGCAGACTGAGCTTTTCGGAAGCACTGCTTGCGTGTCCATCTACCAGGCTCCTCAGAGCGCTTATGACCTCTTCGACAAGGCTGCTGTCTTGTATGAGGGTCGCCAGATCTTCTTCGGCCGTGCCGACGAAGCCAAGCAGTACTTCGTCAACCTGGGTTTCGAATGTCCTGCTCGCCAGACCACTCCCGATTTCCTGACCTCCATGACCAGTCCCACGGAGCGTATTGTTCGCCCCGGCTTTGAGGGCAAGGCTCCTCGCACACCCGACGAGTTTGCCGCTGCTTGGAGGAACAGTGCCGAGTACAAGTCGCTTCAGGCTGAGATCGAAGAGTACAAGCAGGAGCATCCCATCAACGGTCCCGATGCTGAAGCTTTCCGCGCCTCCAAGAAGGCCCAGCAGGCCAAGGGTCAGCGCGCCAAGTCTCCCTTTACCCTCTCATACGTGCAGCAGGTTCAGCTGTGCTTGTGGCGAGGATGGCGACGCTTGATAGGAGATCCCAGTATCACAATGGGCTCTCTTATCGGTAACTTCATCATGGCTCTCATCATCTCCAGTGTCTTCTACAACTTGCAGAATACCACGGACAGTTTCTACCAGCGTGGCGCTCTTCTTTTCTTCGCCATTCTCATGAACGCTTTCTCTTCGGCCCTCGAAATTCTGACCCTCTACGCTCAACGTCCGATTGTCGAAAAGCACGCTCGATATGCTCTCTACCACCCGTCCGCTGAAGCTGTCGCTTCCATGTTCGTCGACATGCCCTACAAGCTCGCCAACTCCATCACCTTCAACGTTACGCTGTACTTCATGACGAATCTGCGCCGAGAACCTGGACCGTTCTTCTTCTTCCTGCTCGTGTCTTTCGTCACCGTTCTCGTCATGTCGATGATCTTCCGTACCATCGCCAGTTCTTCGCGTACGCTTTCTCAGGCCATGGTGCCCGCTGCCATCATTATTCTGGCGCTCGTCATCTTCACCGGTTTTGCTATTCCCACCAACTACATGCTTGGCTGGTGCCGCTGGCTCAATTACATTGATCCTATCGCCTATGCCTTCGAGGCGTTAATGCTGAACGAGTTCATTGGACGCAAGTTTTCTTGCACTGCATATGTTCCTAGCCCCCAGATTCCGTCGTATGCCAATGTCGGTAGCTTGAACCGCGTCTGCTCAGCCGTTGGTTCCGTCACTGGCCAGGACTACGTTCTCGGCGATGACTATCTCCGTCAGAGCTTCAACTATGTCAACAGCCACAGGTGGCGCAACTTTGGTATCATCCTCGCCTTCACCTGCTTCTTCCTCACCACTTACATTCTTGCCGCTGAGGCTGTCTCTGCCAAGAAGAGCAAGGGTGAGGTTCTCGTCTTCCGCAGGGGTTACAAGCCCGCCTCCTTCAAGGAGAACAAGGGTGATTCTGAGTCTGGTGGCGTCGCGGTTGCCGGCAAGGGTCACGTCAGCGATGGCAACACCTCCGACAAGGAAACCGGTTTCTTGCAGGCCCAGACTAGCGTCTTCCACTGGAACAATGTCTCTTACCATGTCCCCATCAAGAAGGAAATTCGCCAGATTCTCAACAACGTTGACGGCTGGGTTAAGCCTGGTACTTTGACTGCTCTCATGGGTGTCTCCGGTGCTGGCAAGACCACGCTTCTCGACTGTCTCGCTGACCGTATCAACGTTGGTGTTATCACTGGTGAGATGCTGGTTGATGGCAAGCCCCGCGACACTTCCTTCCAGCGCAAGACCGGTTACGTTCAACAGCAGGATCTCCATCTCGAAACCACCACCGTCCGTGAGGCCTTGAACTTCAGTGCCCTCCTCCGCCAGCCCGCCCACGTTCCCCGCGCCGAGAAGCTCGCTTACGTCGATGAGGTTATTAAGCTTCTCGACATGGAAGAGTACGCCGACGCTGTCATTGGTGTCCCCGGTGAAGGCTTGAACGTCGAGCAAAGGAAGCGTCTTACTATCGGTGTCGAACTTGCTGCCAAGCCTCCTCTTCTTCTCTTCGTTGACGAGCCTACTTCCGGTCTCGACTCTCAGACTTCGTGGGCTATTCTGGATCTCCTCGAGAAGCTGACCAAGAGCGGCCAAGCTATTCTATGCACTATCCATCAGCCCTCGGCCATGCTTTTCCAACGCTTCGATCGTCTCCTGTTCTTGGCTAAGGGTGGTAGAACCGTTTACTTCGGCGACATCGGCAAGAACTCCAACACCATGGCTTCCTACTTCGAGCGTCAGAGCGGTGTCAAGTGCCCTGCGGATGCCAACCCTGCCGAGTGGATGCTTGAGGTTATCGGTGCTGCTCCTGGTACTCACTCCGAGATTGACTGGCACGAGGCTTGGCGCTCCAGCCCCGAGTACGAAGCTGTCCAGGAGGAGTTGCAACGTCTGAAGAACAGCCCCAAGGATGAGACCGCTTTGGAAATGGATGGTGGTAGCTACCGTGAATTCGCCGCTCCTTTCTTCGCGCAGCTGCGCGAGGTTACCTACCGTGTCTTCCAGCAATATTGGCGTACCCCGTCGTACATCTACTCCAAGGCCGCCCTCTGCATCTCCGTCGCCATGTTCATCGGTTTCGTCTTCTACAACGCCCCTAACACCATCCAGGGTCTCCAGAACCAAATGTTCGCCATCTTCAACCTGCTCACCATCTTCGGCCAGCTCGTCCAGCAAACCATGCCTTACTTCGTCGTCCAGCGTTCGCTCTACGAGGTCCGTGAGCGCCCGTCCAAGGTCTACGGCTGGAAGGTCTTCATGCTCTCTCAGATCATCGTCGAGCTTCCCTGGAACGCGCTCATGGGTGCCATCATGTACTTCTGCTGGTACTACCCCGTCGGCCTTTACCGCAACGCCCAGCCTATGGACCAAGTTACCGAGCGTGGCGGTCTGATGTTCCTGCTCCTCCTCGCTTTCATGTGGTTCACCTCGACCTTTACCGACTTCATGATTGCCGGTTTTGAGACCGCCGAGGCCGGTGGTAACATTGCCAACTTGCTCTTCTCGCTCTGCTTGATCTTCTGCGGTGTCCTCGCCAGCCCCGACACCATGCCCCCGCTTCTGGATCTTCATGCCGCGTCAGCCCCTTCACGTACCTAGTCAGCGCCATGTTGTCGGTCGGTGTGGCCAACACGGACGTGCATTGCTCGGATGTCGAGTTTCTCAAGTTCGAGCCCCTCAATGGCACTTGCGCCGAGTACATGGCCGACTACATAACCACCGTCACGCAGACCAGCGGCTCCGGTGGTTACCTCTCCAACCCGGATGCCACGGACATGTGCAGCTACTGCCCCCTTGACAAAACCAACATGTTCCTTGCTAGCGTGTCCTCCGACTATGCCGAAAGGTGGCGCAACTTTGGGTATGTTTTCCTCACTCTTCCCCTAGCATCGTCCCTTGAAAGAATAAATACTAACGTCAACCTCTCAATAGCATCCTCTTCGCCTACATCGCCTTCAACATTCTCGCCGCCCTTGCCGTCTACTGGCTCGTCCGCGTGCCCAAGAAGAACGGTATCTTTGGCTTCCTCAAGAAGAAGGAGAAGAAGGAGTAGATTCTCTTCTCTCCCCGACGCCCCCAATAAAACACAACAACCCAAAACATAGAAAGAAACTCGATATACCCTCCATAGTTACACCACCGCTTACGATTGAGGATTAGATAGTTCACGTGTTGAAGAAGTGAAGGAGAACAAGAAAGGAGAGAAGAAGCGATCGTCTCGAAGGTTGATGGTGTCATGCATTTATTTATTATTTTACGGTATTCCGAAATCTTGTTACGAAACACACACACACACACACATACATCTCTACACTACACTACACTACACTACACTACACTACACTACACTACACTATACACTCAAACCCCCCCACAACACTTTTTGGATTTTGGATTTTGGATCACTCAAAACCTCGCGGTTGATTTAGCATTTCTCAGCGATTTGTCTTTTCAGGTCTCAGCGATATGCGATATATTTTCTCTTCTCTCACCTACCTCCTTCTGATTTTCTTCACGATGGAACACTTGAAGAAAGTCAATGGAATTTTTATACATGCCATGTAATTTGTTCACATAGATGGAAAAAAGCGCGCTATTTATAGGGGACGACGGGGGAAATCTTCTTGATGATGAATAAATTTCTTACTTTTCTTTTCTGGGGAAAAATGTCTGTCTGGATCATCATGTATATAAATGCGTATGAACACACCTTTGGATACCTTTGGATACCACCTACCTTAAGGGATGTTGCCCACCCAATCTCTCCACGCAATTCGAAATTTGGTTCAATTAGAGATACGATGATAGGATACAAGACGTACCTGTTCAAAGTGAACTAGTGTAGCCCGAATGGAAGAACTACCCGTTGCTAAGGCTGACAGATTTCCTATCTATTCCCCAACTCTACTCGGCAGAGTTGGGGCAAAAGCCTACCGGACAGCTACAACCCTGAACATCTCTACAAGGAAAAATCATCAGGAAATCAATAACGATCCGAAGCAAATTTCAAGTTTGTATAACAATTTCCAATTATAAACTTTCTCAAGATTCCCAGAAGACTTACCGTAGCCCAAACAAAGAAATATATACCGAATTTCTAGGCCGGTGCAGCTCCTCCTCGTTGGACGTTTTTCATATCCCCTCCCCTCTTTCCTATAGAAACTGAATCCTGAGGTTATTAGCTGTCCGGTAAGGTAGGTTTTGGCGTTTCCGGAGGTTTTTGGCACCAATTCTGCCGAGCACCAAAGAGTTGGGGAACAGGCAGGACTGAAATCTGTCTGCCTTACTAACGGGTATACCACGCAATACTCGTGCCACTCACTCATCTTATCTTCAGAATTTCCGTGCGGTCAAATAAATGAATGTGTGTGCCAGATGAAATTGATGGCAATATTGGAATGAGTGAGTGAGTGAGTGAGTGAGTGAGTGAGTGAGTGAGTGAGTGAGTGAGTGGGAAACCTTGGATTGGATTCTTTTCTTATGAAGAGAAGAAACTTGTCCTTCCCGACCGGACCCAACAGCTGAATTAGATAAGGTAGGTATATATGTACGATATCATCACTTGTCGAATCTATTTATCCATGTCCCGTCAATGCTGCCTTTCCATCTGAAGCCACATACTCCAGCACTTATTGCCCTATGGAACCCTTTCCTTCCCGCAGCTCTTTGCTCTTGGTCTTGATTTTGATCGAAATCGCGATTGCCTTGTTGCTTCGATTCCTCTTCCTCTGTTCTTTGTGTCTCTATGTCCAACGCAGATGAATTGAGTGGTAATGCCCGTGATATTACGTACGCCAACGATCCTGTCCACGACGTGTACCCCCTCCCCCCTTCCGGAACGCCGATGCTTATGAAAAGAAAATCCGTATGCCATGTACCAATGAACGGATGTATTGAAGTCCCCAACAAAGCAGCTCACTGTCTTGGTGGTCGAGGCTTGATCGTGTTCCAGATTTTCGGCGGTATCGTCGGAAAAATAATGCGCATCCCTTTGCTGATAGTTGTGGTTCCTTATGCTCTCTGTTTCTTCCATTCCACTGGTATCCATAACCCCTCAGGCCTCGCCAAAGATCCTCACCATCAATACGTAAAAGAAGAAGAAGCATCCGGCCAGCAACCACTTATGCCTCGACATCCACCCCTGACCCGCGTCCCTCTGCTGCATGACCGCGTCCACAACAGCGTGAGCCTGGCCCCCGCTGGTGCCGCTGCCGCCACCGGCAATGCCCAGTTGAGGCCCGCACGATGATGCGTTGGACGGCTCCACCGGCCTGTTCCCCGTTGCTGGGTCAATGTTGTTTTCCTTGATCCACCTCCAGTTCTCAGCGTCTACATCGGGCCACTCCGACCTGAACTTGGCGCCGCCGTCGCCCGCCTTCACGTTGCCCTTCCCTGCTGCGCCGTTCGGTCGGAGATGGGAGCCGCCTCCTGTCGAGTTCCACCATCGTGAGCGCGCGGCGTGAAACTTGCGTTCTGTTTCGGTGGCCGAGACGGAGCCCGTCGTCATCTCTTCGGAGGTCATGAACGATAGTAGGCCGATGAGAATCGTCGAGACTTCCCAGGCGGGGTTGAAGGATTTGGGGTGGAAGTCGGAGATGGAAAGACATAGTCGGCTAGACGGCGTGAAGCGGCCGGAAGGAGTGTGCATGCGGATCGCGGGAGGGGCGAAGGGGTAGTTGGGAGGGAAGATAAGGGTTCCCCAGTATTGGCCGCCGTGATAAGGAGTGTTCTCGGGACCTGTGATGATGTAATGCCATCTGGAGAAGTGCATGTCAGCCGCTGGCCAGGTATAAGCGAGGCTGGCAGTGGTAGATGCTTACTCTAGGATGTTAGACTCGGATGGGTGGGCAGTAATGTACGGCGGGGGGTTCTCGGTGATGGATTTGTATTCGCGCGTCAACTTGAAGATATGTTAGTTATTGTTGCCCAAGGACCTTGGGATTTCGTGGACTCACGCGCTTCTGTGCCGCACGTGTAGCCATGCTGAATTGTGCAGATGGCGATGTCTCGAGATGGTGTCGGTCCGTGATTTGTGTGGCAAAGAATGAACTAAAGGGATGGAATCGACCGAGGGACGATAAAGGAATCGAGGGTCGAGTGCTGGCGACTTTGGAGACGGCGGAGTGAGGGGATCCGAGTCGCTGGTGGAAGACGATGGTAAAGAGTCGAACGTAAAGTTTGGAAGTGGACGGATGGATCGTAGTTGAATAGGTGAATGTGATGGTGGTCTGGTTCTAGGATGCAAGGTGGAAAGTGTAGTGGTAGGTCCAGTCAAGGTTAGCGACAGAATGTCAGCGAGCAGTGACGGACAGTGGTGGCACGGCACGGGGTCCAGCTGGTCATGAAAGGCATTGTGGACTGGGGGACACAACGGGCAAGCGACGAGACCTCCTCCAATCCTCGCTTCCCAGAGAAAGACGCTTGATCCGATCGGGTCTAGCCTTCAGAAAGAGTGGGTCTGCCGCAATGGTTCCCTTTGTTGAAGCAAGGGCCCTGGGAAGGATCTCCACGTGCGCCTCTCATCTCATTATGCGTGAGCCACAGCCCACTGGCAGTCCATCAGCAGCACCAGCCACACGGTTACGTAGTGACGAATTGATGGATCCCCCGACAGCACCCGAAGCCGAATTGACTTGAACCTGGTCGACGGTTGCAGTTCGGACCAAAATAATAATAATAATTCGGAGAGTCGAGAACATCCCCGTCCTCAACAAGTCACCAACCAGTGATCGCGGAACCCACCAACCCAGGCGAGAAGCTGCAATGGCCTCCTCTCCAAGTGCCCCCGGCGGCAGCGTAAGCTTTTGTCCCTCGTCGTCGTCTCAATTGCGCCAATTCGAGTGACCGATTCCTGATCCAAACCTCCAAATATTTAGGTCGAGGCCGCCACCGCGAAGATCGACAGGGCCGCTACCATCGTTACCGAACCCAAGGAACATCAACCGTACCAGGCGCAGAACCCCATCGTATGAGAATCCGATCCTTAGCCCTTCAGATGCCAGTCATCGTCCGGCTAACCTTTCCCTCTCTCTCCTTCAACTCAGTTCGAGGACCACCTGCTTGCCCCCGCTACCGTCAACTCCATCGAGATCCATGGCGCCAACAACACCCGCCGCGGCCTCCTCGACCACCTCTTCAAGCCCATTGTCGAGGAAAGCACTAGCCCCGATACCACCCTAGGCGATGTCCTCGGTCGCATCAGCAAGGCCACCCAGAAGCTTACCCGTTTCGGTGCGCGCCCACTCCTCCTTCTCTCCTTCTCACCCGAGCAACGGCCGAACATCCTACATCTCCCAGAACCCAGCACGCTCTAACCTACCTTTTACATCCAACAGGCATCTTCAAGGAGGATGGCTTTGGTGTCTTCATCTCGGATGCCCGCCAGAAGCAGCAAGAGCAGTTCCAATCCCCCACCGACCGCACCGAGCTCGACGTCTCCATCCGCGTAAAGGAACAATCCCGCCTCGTCTTCAGCGCCGGCACCGACTTTGGCAACGCTGAGGGATCCGCTTACACCAATGCCGTCCTGCGCAACATTTTTGGCGGAGCCGAGACCCTCTCCGTCAACGCTGCCACCGGTACCCGTACCAGGTCGGCCTACAACGCCGTCTTCTCTACCCCGGTGAACGGCAACCCCGATATCCGTCTCGCCCTCGAGGGTCTGCGCTCCTCTACTCAGAAGCCTTGGGCCTCGCATGACGAGCATCTTACCGGCGGTAACCTCCGTCTCGCCTGGTCGACCGACAACGGTGATAACCACGCGCTCGGCTACTCTGGTGTCTGGCGCCAGCTGACCGGCCTTACCGCCTCCGCCTCGCCCACCGTCCGCGCCGATGCCGGTGACTCTCTCAAGAGCTCCATCACCCACACATTTACCCGTGACCGCCGCGACAACCCCACGCTCCCCCAGGCCGGTTACCTTTTGCGCACCGTCTCCGAGCTCGCTGGTTGGGGTCCGCTCCAGGGCGACGTTTCCTTCGCCAAGTCCGAGGTCGAACTGTCTGCCGCCCAGCCCCTCCCCCTTCCCGGCGTCTCCGTCGGCGCCGGCTTCCGCGCCGGTCTTCTCTACCCTCTGCCCACTGGCTACTCCCTCTCCAGCGCTTCCGTCGCCCCTAGCCGCATCAACGATCGCTTCCAGCTCGGCGGTCCTACCGATGTCCGTGGTTTTGCCATGGGCGGCCTCGGTCCTCATGATGGTGTCGACTCCGTTGGCGGTGACGTCTTCGCAGCTGGATCTGTCAATATGCTTCTTCCCCTCCCCAAGGCCGGTCCAACCTCCCCCTTGAGGCTGCAGCTCTTCGCCAACGGCGGCCGTTTGGTTGCACTCCAGGGCAAGAAGGCGGCTGAGGGTTCGCCGTCGCTGGATTCCGGCGCTGTTGCGAGCGGCATGAAGAGTGCGGTGGCTGAGTTGGCGAATGGCCTGCCCAGCGTTGCCGCTGGCTTCGGTCTGGTGTATGCGCACCCCGTGGCGAGGTTTGAGTTGAACTTCAGCTTGCCATTGGTGGTAAGGAGAGGCGAGGAGGCGAGGAAGGGGCTGCAGGTCGGAGTTGGTATTAATTTCTTGTAAAGGGGTAAGAGGCAAAGGGAAATGGTAGGGACAAGCATCAAAAATCATGATGCTTCGCCTGTCTGTGTAGTATCAATGTATAAATGTCAAGTCATGCTATAAAAATAGACAATACGAGGGGACCTCGAAGTTACATTCAGCGCAATATCTGACGGTCGATTTTGCAGATCGAGTATCATTTCCAACGTCTGGTCCCCAACCCGAACGGCGCCAATATGATGGTGCATTGAACCCTAAATGTCATCAGTGATTATCCCATCGGTGTCAATGCTATTTGGTTGTCAGGCATGAGCTTCCGCGGAACAAAGGGAAGTGAAAGATAAGTATGGAGTTAAAGATGTCCCTTAGTATCTACTTCGTGCGAGTTCAGCACGACAGCGGTTATAACCACTGAGCTAGAAGCGTTAATTCAACAAATAAAACCCCTTGTGGTGTAGTTGGCTATCACGTTCGGCTGTAATTGTCTAGATTGTATACCGAAAGGTCACCGGCTCGATTCCGGTCGAGGGGAATTTCTTTTTTTTACTTTTTTTTCTTCGTTGTAGTGTACTTAGTGCACCACAATGCATCAATTCGCACTTGTCACCATTCCTGTTTTTCTTCTTCTTTTTTCCTGGTGAATTGCTCAGGGCTGTACAGAGAAAATGCTTTAGAGTGCTAACACGGGACAATGTCAATGTCTCTTGTGACGACCCTCTATGCCCACAGTCCTGTTTATCGATATCTAAGACAAACTCTTCCCATTGTTCTTTCAACAGTCAACCCTCAATCCCCGATCCCAAACCCCATCAAACAAACCCCCGGCTTCCCGCTCCCGGCTCGGCGCCCAGGTTCCACTCCACTCCACCACATCTCCGTCTGGGCGTCCTCGGCGGTGCGTCCAAATTCCCTCATCCCTCCACCCACATCACTTTGGTATTGTCCTCTTGAACGAACGACCTTATGGGCCATTTTTCCATCTTCCTCATTCAACAAATTCAAGTCAACTGGGACCTTGGCGCAGTTGGCTAGCGCGCAGGTCTCATACTAATCACACGTATGATCTGGCTGGTATCAAACAGCTCAGAGTAATCCTGAGGTCGGGAGTTCGAGCCTCCCAGGTCCCATTCTTTTTTGCACTTTTTGCATCATTTTTGTTGTTACTTTTGTTCTTGTCTGGGTGATCAATGTCTCTTGATGGTAAGTAACATTTTCCTGCTGATATTTGGAGACGAACAGACGTGATATGGTCTCTCGGAACTTTTTGTGTCATGCAAGTCTGGACAGAATCTGTTTATGGTTTTTGATAATCAGTTTGTTTTACCTTCCTTTATCTAAGATGTTTCGTTACTTGTAGGAGGTTGCTTGCTTGATGGGTATGTTGTCTGTCATTGACTTGATGCTCTTAACTATCACAGCCTATTCAAATCTTCAACATTCTTTCTATAAACCCTTCCAAAAATCAAACTCTCCTCTCCGCCCCATCCCCGCACCCCATACCCTTTTCCTCGGCATGCGACCCGCTCCTGGACATCATCTCGCCTTCCTTCTCACTGACACCCACTCTCTCCGCCTCATCCAACACCGCCGCCTCCCGATTCCCATACCGTCCAATCTTCCACCACGGCAAACTAAACAACCGATCCATACTCTCCAGACTCCTCCCCGCCGTCTCGGGAACCGCAAACCACACCCACACGCCACCCAATATCGTCACAGCAGCAAAGAACCAAAACGCCCCCTGGGACGAGATCCCCCCCATCTCAAGGGTAACAACATAACCGGCACCGCCCGAGCGTTCCCATACTGGTTAACAAAATGTAAACACATGGCCAAGCTCGTACAAAACGCGCGGATGCGCAAGGGAAACAGCTCAGCAGTTAGCAGATACTGCATGCTATTCCACCCCAGCGCCCAGCCGAAGCCACTCAAATAGATCATGACAATGGCGCCGCGTGATGCGCGTAACTTTCCCGAACTAGGGGAAAGCACATACCCTTCTTCGTTGCCGAGCTGAGGGACGGCCGACAAGAACCCGGCAACGTAGAGCATGGCGACGGCTTGGCAGGTGATGCCGAGCAGGAGAGAGCGCTTGCGGCCGATGAAATCCACCAAAAACAAGGCGCAGAGGATGGCGGCCACGAGCTTGATGATGCCGAAGACAGCCGTCACCAACAGCGACTCCTCGGTTCCCGTGATGCCGAGCAGCTCGAACAGATCCGGCGCGTAGATGGTGATGGAGCCGGCGCCGGACCACTGTGACAGGACCTGGGCGCCGACGGTCAGGCCGACACGGTAGAGGTTGCTGCGCACGGTGAAGGCTTCCCTGACCACGCCCAGCCAGCCGGCACCCTTGGTGGCTTCCATTTCTTCGTGGTGGCTGAGGGTGATGGCGTTTATTTCGCGCTGCACGTAAGCGTGGTCGGCAGGCAGATGGCGGAGACGGGACATGACGTGGAGGGCTCGGTCGTTTTTGCCCGTCTTGACCAGGTAGCGGGGCGATTCGTACTGCAGGAAGGTGAGGAGGAAGATGAGGCCTGCGAAGATGATGTGCAGGCTCGTCGGCACCTGCCAGCGAGCGGGCGTTTCGCCGAGGTGAAGCTGGCAGCCGTAGTTAGTAAAGTACGCCAGCACGATGCCGAGGTAGACGAAGCCGGTGAAGATGCAGGTGCAGAGACCGCGGATGCTGGCGGGGGCGATCTCCGCGATGTAGACGGGGCCGACGACGGGCGTCTGGCCGACTCCAAGACCGGCGACGAACCTGCCCGCGTAGACTGCGCCCAGGTTACCGTTCGAGCCCATGAAGATGGCGATGCCCAGGATCCAGAGTACGCAGAGCTGGCGGGTGGCCCAGATACGCCCTATCCTGTCGCAGATGAGGAAGGCACTGCAGCCGGTATCTGTCAGTGACTGAACTGAGAGCGACCAGGAAAAAGGGGATGCCAAGCCGAGATTGTTGACTTACAACAAAGCTCCCCCTACACTCCCAATCTCTGCACCATAGACAACATTCGCCTTGATATTCGCCTGCTCAACCTTCGAATACGAGTCATAACTGATGCTGTCCTGGAAGTTCTTGCTCTTGAACGCGCCATTGATCAACCCTTCGTCAACGCCACGGGCAGCGCCCAGCAGACCGAAGGAGAAGACGGCAAACCATAGTCTCCAGTTGAACACTTCCTTTGGCTCGCCCAGGTTTTTGAGCTTGAAGATGTTGACGGGTTTCTTGACGCCGCCGGCCATCGTGAGATTGGAGCAAGTGCTGCTGTCGATGAATGCGGTACAAGGAGGAGAGAACGAGCGGTCGGTCGAGACACACAAGAGAGGTGAGGTGGGTAATATCATCAACTTGATACCTATCTGAAAAAGTGACCCGGTTCACTTGATATCAACTGCCCCCCCCCTCCCCCCCCCCTCCTCCCCCCCCCC